GAGTAAACAAACTTTAACACATTAGCTCAAATTCTTGACCTTTTGAAGTCCACTCAACTCACACAATAACGCTGATAAAGCAATTGGTTAAATTGGCTTTTTTACAGTGTGGCCCTGATGCTCAGATGGAGAAATCCCCTGTTCACAGGCGTGATTGTGTTTGAACAATGTTGGTATTGTCCTTTTTCAGGAGTGGAGGTGGTGTGTGACTCATATCAGAGGGGAAGGAATGTCTTCAGAGAAGAGGTTGAATAGAGACCACGCTGATTACATGAATGTTCATGCATGATAGAGGTGGTGATGCTCAGTTGTATGCAGAGAAAGAGAGCGTGAAAGAGAGGGAGAAAGAGAGAGAGAGAGTTTTAGGAGCATACTATGGGAATGTCTTCAGAAAAGCGGTCGAGGACAGAGAACAAATGATGTCCATGTGTGATAGAGCTGAGATAGTGGCCAATCCTCCTGCCTGCAGGACATATATGAAAGGTGTTTAAAACATGTAGTATAGTACTGTCACACTATTGTTTTGTAACATTGGCAGTGGACAGAGGGAGCTCTGTGAGGGAGGGAGTTAGTGGGGCCTACTGAGGCCTGTTCTGTCTGTCAGCCAGGGCCGAGGAGAGGGGAACTAGAAAGGACAGTACTAACTGCCGTAGGGAAGACATGTTGTTCTCAGACACACACAGGCTGAGTGATTCATGGTCTTAGAGAGGAGGGGAACAGCAGGGAGGACCAGAAGAGGAGACACAGAGACGGGAGGAAGAAGACTCAAATGTCACATGTGGGATGTGTGCTGTACACTCAGTGCCATGCTCGCTAGATGAGTGCTGGAATTTGGTGAGAGTGGAAAATATGTACAGTATGGTTGAACTCTGACCTTATGTGGCATTGGAAAACATCTTGTTCTAACAAAGCACTCCTTTATCTCTATTTCTGCATGGCCAGAACCACATATACAGTATAATTCACATCACTAGATGTGGTATATGTATCACTGACTCAGTCTAAACTAGGGAGATAAAATCAACTCTACAAACATGTAATGACACCAACAGGTAAGGTGAGGTAAGGATTATTAGGAGGTCTAATGAGATTCAGACAGGTGATGCTGGCGGAGGAAGAATCGCTGTAGGACAGACATGTAGATTTGAATAGAAATGTGTTGGCATATGACAGACAGACAGAGCCAGTTCTGAGGAGTCAATCACTGTTGATGTTGGGGCGGCTCCAGACCTCACATGGCGTCCCGCCAACTGCTCTGCTCGCCCAGGGGTGCTTTACGACGCCAGGCCAGGGGAGAGGAGAGGAGGAGCAGGAACATTCCCCAGGCCTGTGTAAATGCCCCCATGGAGCTACTGTTGCTGCTGTACTGTGGGAACAATGGTGGCTCTGGGACAGTAGGGTAGGAGGCAGGGAGGGGTAGGGTGGGGGGGTGAGAGGTTAACACTCAGCCGTCCGTCTGTGTCACTGCTGTGTTTGATTTGCCTCTGTCTGTTTCTGGTCGTTGGGATGTTTTGGCCCTTTTATCCCCTCCCTGATGAATTCCTTCCTTCTTGTTCCCAGAATGATAGAGATAATCTGGTCTCTGTATTCTCTCGGCGTCTCTATCAGCTATTAAGTCCATCTCTTGCATTTGTAATGATTGCCGTCCAAAATAGTTGGGATGTTTTATATAAATTTGAATATTTCTGAGTCTTGTCTTTGGCTTTAGTGTTGTTCTTTGTGAAACAAAGTTCTGTGGAGTATCTCTCTCTCTCTCTCTGTGTGTGTGTGTGTGTGTGTGTTTGACACGTCATTGTGAAGATTGTTTCTTTCAGAAGAGGAATTTCTCATTGTTTTCCCACATGGCGTTGCACGTTTGGACTGCTGTCTGAGGTCAAAGGTCAGATAGAAGGCTCTCTGTACATTAGTCATGTGGATGTTATGTTTGGTTATGTATGCTGTGTTATGTTATACATTAGTTATGCTTTACATAATATTTCCATGGGTTTACGAATACCATGTTCAGACATTACTACTCTTCAGATTTATCATCATTCATATCCTCTCGGGTAATCAAGTAAGTGTGTTGTTCTGGTGCTGTGATTAGACTGGATAGTTTGGATTAGAGAGCCCAGGGGATTGAAGAATTTGGCCTAGAGAGCCCAGGGATTTGATAGTGGGCAATTCCACGTTGTACTGTACTCTACTGTGCTCTACTCACTGTACTGTACTGTACTGTACTGTGCTATCCAAACATACTTCTATGATAGGTTCAGATTTGGTCCAGTCTGGTCCGGCTGTGGACGTTAACATCAAGGCCAGGGTGGACTGACTAAATTTCAACTACCTTTCAACGTCCATGTACGTCTGGTGTCGGTCTGTGCTCAGTGGGTGAGGATGCTGGTTACAGTAAATAGAAAGAGAGGGGGCTCATGGGTAGGTGTCAGTTAGAGCTGGTAGAGTTGACATTAACTGCAGAGTGAGTGAGAGAGGCAGAGAGCGAGAGAGAGAAAGAGAGAGAGAGAGGGAGGAGAGAGAGAGAGGCAGAGAGCGAGAGAGAGAGAGAGAGAGAGAGAGAGAGAGGGAGGGTTGTCTAGACTCAGACTGTTTTAACACTCTTGGTTTGACCACCAGACAACAAAGAAAACAGTTATGAGCTGAACATAACAGTATGTCAGTGGAAGGGAGGACAGTAGCAGGTGACCCAACTGTTGTTTGTGACTATTATGATTTTCCATTTTAGTTGCAGTAATTCTGTTACTGATTTTTTGGTAATTCCGTTACCATTTGTTAACAGAATTATGAGTTTTAGTCACTTAATAATTCATAAACAAAATTGATATCAGTAAAATCAGTAAACTTAGAGAATACAAACAATTTATCCAAAACTAAATATTGATATTAGTTGGCAGTGGTCTTTACGGCAACATTCTTTTTGTTTTAATGTATTTCTAATACATTTTAAGACTTTTTTGCTAGATGTTTTCTATGGTCCCTTTTCCATCTGTTTGACCAGAAATCAAAGTCATTACTTATGGCTAATTTTTAGGATGGAAAATGGTTGAAAAAAATATCTATGCCTTCATTTCCCCAAAATATAGACTATTAGCTTTCATTTGACACCCAATTTGATATGCTCCTATGAACTTCACATGTTGGTGCTCATGTGTCCTTTTCGATGGAAATGCTCAGTTTGGACAAGAGAGCCTTGAGGATTGGATAGTTTGGACAAGAGAGCCCAGGGGATTGAAGAATTTGGACTAGAGAGCCTTTGGGATTGGATAGTTTGGACAAGAGAGCCCAGGGGATTGAAGAATTTGGACTAAAGAGCCTTTGGGATTGGTAGTTTGGACTAGACTGAGTGATTGAGTTAGTGTTGTATTGTGTCTAGTTGTCAGGTGTTTTGAGTCTGTCTGTAACACAGCACTCCAAAGGCCTGTCGTAATTAGAGCCATGCTGCAGCAGATTAAAGTTCTGGCTGTTCCAAACATCGTTGCCTTATGACCTGTGTGTGTGTGTGTGTGTTTATGTGTTTGTGTGTGTGTGTGTGTTTATGTGTTTGTGTGTGTGTGTGTGTGCACCGTGTATGCGCGCCGTGTGTGTGTGTGACCAGCTTGACCTGATAAATTATTCACTGACATTTACTTCTTGGTTCATAGCAAGGCAATTAGGCTGGATTTGAAAATACATCATAAATGTCTGTGTGTGGGCGAGGGCAGGCGAGGACTGTGGGAATGAGTATTAGCATGAGTAAGTCTGTAAGGCTGTCACAGTGTGCGTAAGCTCGGACAGTTGTGTTTGTTAGGAGCAAGCAGTAACTCCTGTAATTAAATCATTTATAGGGATTGTGTATGCCTCCCATATCAAAGTAGAATTTAAGCTGCTCTGTTTTAAGGACCTTTAAATCAGTACCTGATGTTTTCCATTGTGTTCAGACTCAGTCTGGCTTTAATTTACAGCTTAACCTATTTACAGTGCAGCCTGTTACCATGCCATGGGTGCTCTGTGGGTGAGATCTGAGCTGCTGCGAATAAAAGGCCTCTGCTATGCAAATAAATAATGCCATAAAAGCTAACAGGGTGTTTTTCTGCAAGCAGCGAGTGGGCACTAGTTACACTCTCACCACATGTTTAATTAACAGAGAGAAGAAAAGTAGAACATGTAGCGTGGGGAGATGAGGAGAGAGAGGTACGGGGGGCAATTTCAATTTAGGATCCTCATTTTAAATGGCTGGAATGCTAAATTCTGCATTGCCGGTCTCCCCATAAACTGTGTGTGTCTGTGTCTGTGTTAGGGTTGGAAATTGCCATGGACCTATCAAAATGATATTATCACGATACTTAGGTATCGATACAATGTATTGCGATTCTCACGACTCTATATGTATTGCGATTGGATACTGCGATGTTATTGTGATTTGGTGTTCCAAACATATTGCTCACTATATGTCTGCTGCGGAGAGACAAGAGAGAGAATGAGAAAATGAGTTTTGATCAGTCAGGGAAATAAAAGTGCTGAGAACATGTTGGCTCACTATTTAAAAAGAAGATGGAGAACAAGCTATAGGATGAAAAATACTGGAGTTTTGTCGCAGGTACAGCCAGCTGACGAGCGCTACCTAGCAAAACTAAAATAAATTACTAATTGAAACTTGGAGTCAAAGTATTGATATAATATCGTCCAAAATAATAGCGCGATATGTAACTGTATCCATTTTCCCCCCATCAGTAGTCTGTCTGTGTGTGATGTCCTTAAACAGTCTCCCATAAAGCAGCTGGTTGGAGCCTTATTGCGCACAGCTCAGATCAGACTCATCCTCGTGACAACACATTATACACAGAAAATATCATAATGGTCAAACACAACTAACCAGCCAACTGTAAATAAACTACAGACATGTTTTAATTATCATCAAGGGGTGAACATACAGCAGTGTGAACTCGTACATACTCCTACATCTTTTATTCCCATGTTACTTCTGAAAGATAGCACATGCCAGTGAAACGTTGTGAATGCGAGAGATGGTGAGAGAGGTGTCTTGCTGTGGGATGCTGGCTCTAGGCAGGTGTCAGCTGTCAGGTGTGACCCAGTGTGTAGTGTACCGCAGAATTATACAGTAGGCGGAGTCATGGCTGGATCCCATAATAATAGCCACGGAACAGAAGGCCACCTGCAGGACTGCTGCTTTCAGCACTGAGTGGGCCTGTCTCTGTCTCCTCTAATCCCACCGCCACCACACACACACACACACACACACACACACACACACACACACACACACACACACACACACACACACACACACACACACACACACACACACACACACACAGACACACACACACACACACACACACACACACACACACACACACACACACACACACACACACACACACACACACACACACACACACACACACACACAGGTTCCCACCAGCTCCCCCAAACTGGCAGTTCTCTCTGCTGCAAAGAACACAGCCTACTACCACTAAGTGTAGCCAGACAGCCAAATATCATATCGGTGACTGTACTGGTCGAAAACAACACACTTACAGCTGCTGTGAGACTCCTACGGTCCAAAATGATGATGATTTTGTTTTTCCTTCAAATGTCTGAGTATCATTAGCGGAACTGAACAGAAATTTGGACACATAGCTTATAAAAATCTGTTCGCTTGGCTATAGTTTCAGTACAAGGTGTGAAGACATATTTCTCATATGAAGTATGTGTTATTGTATCACTGTGTACTGACGTGTCTACTTCTCTCTCATGTGCAGCTGATCCCATCGATGTGCTGCGGGTGCTGGAGCTGTCGGACCACATGGAGGGGGTGTCCATGGAGGCTGGCCTCTGCACCAGCAGGAAGGACATGGAGGAGACAGACATGGCCTACAGGATAGACAAGAAGATCCAGCTCAGTGCACCCACCAAACAGCTCTTCCCAGGTAACAACAATCTATAGAGATATGTAATGTAGTACACATCCAATGTGTCTGAGTCATGGTGTATGTGTGGTAATTGCAGTGAATCCTAAGCTTCACTATAACACAACTGACCTGACTTTGCTCTCCCTCTTCTCCATGGGCTTAGGTCTTAGGGTGTAGTAGCACAGGCCATTATTATTATTCATTGAAGTTCAGATGTGTGATATTGTTATTTTGGGAGGGGCAGTGGGTCTTGCCAGAGTAGGAGTCCCCACGGTGGTGTGTTGCTACCTACTGTGTTCTCCACTGTATGACTGACTGTATGACTGACTGTATGACTGACTGCATGACTGACTGCATGACTGACTGTATGACTGACTGTAGGACTGACTGTATGACTGACTGTATGACTGACTGCATGACTGACTGTATGACTGACTGCATGACTGACTGTATGACTGACTGCATGACTGACTGTATGACTGACTGTATGACTGACTGTATGACTGACTGCATGACTGACTTTATGACTGACTGCATGACTGACTGCATGACTGACTGCATGACTGACTGTATGACTGACTGTATGACTGACTGTATGACTGACTGCATGACTGACTGTATGACTGACTGTATGACTGACTGAATGACAGACTGCATGACTGACTGTATGACTGACTGCATGACTGACTGCATGGGCTCCCGAGTGGCGCAGCGGTCTAAGGCACTGCATCTCAGTGCTTGAGGCGTCACTACAGACCCCCTGGTTTGATTCCAGGCTGTATCACAACCGGCCGTGATTGGGAGTCCCATAGGGCGGCGCACAATTGGCCCAGCGTCGTCCGGGTTTGGCCGGTGTAGGCCGTCATTGTAAATAAGAATTTGTTCTTAACTGACTTGCCTAGTAAAATTAAAAGCATGACTGACTTGACATTTTTTTCATTGGATACAGATATTGCATAATGTATTTTTACATAAAAACAGTGACAGCAGTAACATTATGTAACACATCAGAGGACAACAGAGTAGAAAAGGTCAACCATATCATCCACAACAATTGTTCCTCCTCCCCTCCCCCAGACTCGCCGTTCCCTGTGGACTTCTCCCTGATGACAACAGTGAGGGCAAAGAAGGACTCCCAGTTCTTCCTGTTGTCTGTGTATGATGAGCAGGGTGTACAGCAGCTGGGGCTGGAGGTGGGCCGCTCGCCTGTCTTCCTGTACGAAGACCACCAGGGACAGCCCTCCCCGGAGCTCTACCCTATCTTCAAGAAGATCAACCTGGCTGATGGAAAGTGGGTACTAGTCCTGGCCTGATGTCCTTGGCTCTTGACTGGGACGACTTCTCAAAACCCGAACCCTATAGCCCCTGATTTATGATTGACACACATTGACATTATTAGACCCAATATGGTGGGTGAGATTCACCTGCATCATGTCATTTGGTTGGCCATTGGGTATCACCGTAACATATCATCCCCTATCATGTGACCCTACCTGACCCAAAATATAGTTTCCTCAGTATGTGATCTCACTTGGCCCTACTTGACTGTGGCACACACAGCTCACACAATGTGCTTGACCCTAAGTGACCCGGAGCCATAGAGGAAAAACATAGATCACCTTAGTACCATAGAGTTCTTGGCTCACAATACAAGGTCAATGGCTTGACTTGACCCTGTAAAATACCACAGTGTGATTCAATGCATTTGACCTTAGAAAACCCTTCCTCAGCATACTGCATACAGGTGGTGCCTCCTTTTAACTGAACCCAACTTGCCTTGCGGGGAAAAGATACATTCAACCTGACACTTCATATTGCTACACCTGCAGTATAAATATATCACTACTAACCCAACTCTACCTCTCTGTCTGTCCAGGTGGCACAGAATAGCCTACAGTGTGGAGGGCAAGTCAGTCACCCTGTACCTGGACTGTGAGAAGGTGCAGACTCTGAAGTTACTGCGAGGGGACAACCCCCTGGTCAGTACAGAGGGGGTGACCGTGTTTGGAACACGACTACTGGACGAGGAGGTGTTTGAGGTAGGACACCACTGGTTAATTCTGGTATTGGATCTGAGGAACATCAACATTAATTGTTGGAACTTGTTTTAACTGGATTCTTGGCATGTTAATGTAATATTCACTCACTCATCTTCGCTCGCTCCTCGGAGCATAGCGCCTCGACAAATGGATCTCCATGCCGTCTTATTCTAGGCCAGGTCCCAGGCTGATTTGGTGTTGAGTCCCAGGTTGTGTATGTCATCCTCCAACTGGTCAGACTACCTGGTTCTCGGTCTTCCTCTTGGGCGTGGCCAGTTGGGGGATGGTTCCTTGAGGATAAGGGCAGGCTCCAGAGGTGGGTTTGATCTGACCAGGTGACCGAACAGTCGGAGTCAGGAGGCTCTGACCAGGGAGGAGACGGGGTTGGTCCATTATTTGACGTATTGTGGTCGCGCCATGTGATGCCCAGTATGCGGCAGAGGCACTTGGAGTCAAAGGCATCCAGATGACGTGTGAGGTCCAGGGTGAGGGTCCATGATGTGTGAGGTCCAGGGTGAGGGTCCATGATGTGTGAGGTCCAGGGTGAGGGTCCATGATGTGCGAGGTCCAGGGTGAGGGTCCATTATGTGTGAGGTCCAGGGTGAGGGTCCATGATGTGCGAGGTCCAGGGTGAGGGTCCATGATGTTTGAGGTCCAGGGTGAGGGTCCATGATGTTTGAGGTCCAGGGTGAGGGTCCATGACTCTGATCCGTACAGGATGGAAATGACCAGGCTATTGTATATGCTACGTTTTCATTTCAGAGAGAGTTGTTTCCAGATTATGTTTAGGCTGGCCATGGTTGAGGCTGCCCAGCCGATGCGAAGGTGGATGTCGGCGTTGCTCCTGCAGTCAGTCGTTTATGTGCTACCAAGGTAGCAGAATTTAGGAACAACGCCGACATGGTGGATGTTCACAACAGGGCTGGTTGGAGGTAGATCGAAGTCGCTGAAGGACTGGATCTTAGTTTTGTCCCAGCTGATCATGAGGCCGGATGGGTGGGTCTCCTAATTCATGATCTCAAGGGCAAGGTGTATGATGTCCAAGAGCTCGGCCAGGATTGCCATGTCGTCCCCATAGTCCAGGTCAGTGAAGCTTCGGGTGACAGTCCTTCCCATTACAAAGCTGTGTTAAAGATGGTAGGTGCCAGAACACAGCCCTGTCTAATGCCACTGTTGATATTAAAGGTGGGGGAGGTTTGGCCGTTGACCCGAACACAAGAGATGTGAAGTGTTCCTGTATAGCAGGGACAGCAGACCGGTCAGCTTCCTTGAAACGCCTAGGATCCTAAGGATCTTCCAGAGGGCTTCCCTGTCCACGCTGTCAAACGCCTGCTTTAGGTCAATGTAGGTAACGTATAGTGGTTTCCTGAACTCTCTTTTCTGCAAGAAGTCTGAGGTAGAAGACCCGGTCGGTAGGGGAGCGACCGATGGTAAATCCGCTTCGTTCACGGCACTGTTGTTGCAGAAGTAGGGGGCGTATGCATTTGAGGAGTATATGGGCGAGTGCTTTTCCTCAAACGCTGAGGAGTGTGATGCCTCTGTAGTTGCTGCACTGGTCCTTGGGACCCTTCTTCCTGAAAGGTAGAATGAGTCTTTGGGGGATTGTCATGTGGTGAATAGGTGACTACGGTGGGCCCCCCAGAAGTTCTGGGGGGATATTGTCAGCACCTGCTGCTCGGCCTAGCTTCAGTTTCCCTAGGGCCTCCTCAATCTCTGCCTCTGAGGGGGGCTCTGACATGATGGTGGAGTCTTCCACTGAGGAGGAGGCGAGCTCATTTAGGATTGGAGAGGGAGGTGGAGGAGGGCGGTTAAGGAGTGTGGAGAAGTGTTCAATCCAGCGCACGAGTTGCTGTTCTGGGGTCTCTAACTCAGACCCATTGAGCGCCTTTACTGACGCCGTGGGGGGGGTGTAGTCTTCCCAGTGAGAGTCCGGAGGGTTTTGTAAAAGGCTCCATGGTTGCCTACCTTAGAGGCAGCCTTGGCTTCATCAGCAAGGGTGTCATGCCACTTCTGTTCTTCCCTTATTCTTATCTCGTAGGTCAAGACGGTCCAGGGTCAAGTCATCATGGTCCGTCCGAGTAGAATTACGTTTTTGTGAAGGTTTCATGGCAATGCTTTTTTCCGTGGCGGGCCACTAGCCCAACACACAACCTCTCCATGAATTTATATACCGCCCTGCGAGGGCGGGCGGTGCAGGTGCTATTAGCCGGCAGTGGCTCTTCAGTAGCTTGCTCTGGTTGTGGTATCAAAAACTGGAGTCATCTACACCAGTGGTTCCCAACCTTTTACGGTTACTGTACTACCAACTGAATTTTGCTCTGCCCGGATTACCCCTGAAGTACCCCCTCATGTGCATTTTACCATTAAGTCTGTGGTCTCATGAGTCTTCTCAAGTACCCCTGTGGATAGGCCATGTACCCCCAGAGGTCCTAGTACCCCTGGTTGGGAACCACTGATCTACACTGAGTGTACAAAATATTAGGAACACCTGCTCTTTCCATGACATAGACTGACCAGGTGAATCCAGGTGAAAGCTATGATCCCTTATTGATGTCACTTGTTAAATCCACTTCAATCAGTGTAGATGAAGGGGAGGAGACAGGTTAAATAATGATTTTTAAACCTTGAGATATTTGAGACATGGATTGTGTATGCATGCCATTCAGAGGGTGAATAGGCAAGACAAAAGATTTAAGCGCCTTTGAACTGGGGGTATGGTAGTAGGTGCCAGGCGCACCGGTTTGAGTGTGTCAAGAACTGCAACGCTGCTGAGTTTTTCACGCTCAACAGTTTCCCGTGTGTATCAAGAATAGTCTACCACCCAAAGGACATCAAGCCAACTTGACACAACTGTGGGAAGCATTGAAGTCAACATGGGCCACCTTGTAGAGTTAATGCCCCGACGAATTGAGGCTGTTCTGATGGAAAAAGGGGGTGCAACTCAATATTAGGAAGGTGTTCCTGATGTTTTGTACACTCAGTGTATATGAGTCGTCACATGGAGAATACTGCGAGGAGGTTAGCACTCTAACTTAAACCCTAATGCAATATACCTACTATAAATTATTTTATTGAGGCGTGAATGAGATGCTCTAAAGCCACATGCTCTGCTCTGGCCCCATAATTTCTATTGTGATCAAATACCAGGAAATGACACTCAACATTTGTATTTGTATGAGTGAGTTTGGATGTTTTGGAGAGTGTGTGATGTTAGATGTGTTGACATTTGAACGGACAGCTTTATATTTTGACGTTTCACAGTGTGTGTGAGTGTGAATATGTGTCAGTGAATGTATGAGTGTTATTCATGCCTGCTGATTGGGAGGATTGATCTTGTTGGAAGAGGAATTTCCCAGTCATCAGTGTTTATCCCTACGGCGACACCGTCAGGGCTGCTGTCCTCATCATTATCCCTGAGTAGCTGGGGAGGGCAAAGGTCACATATTTAATGATGGCTGGGGTTGTTTGAGCTTGGTGAAAGTGTTTGGTGAACTGACAATGTCATTATGGAACCGTAAAATTGAAATGGACACTGAACAGTGAGTTATGATGTGTAGGTAAATATGATAATAATATAAAGCGTGTGCGTGTGTGTGTGCGTGTGTGTGTGCGTGTGCGTCTGGGTGTGTGTGCCGTACATGTGTGCTTACAAATCACACAATAAAAAGATAAATGAATTCCAAGTAAAGCTCATATTCTTTTATTTTCATTTCCCTGACCCTGTTCCATAAGTCATTCTCAATGTCTCTCCCAGGATAGTGTGCAGGCCTAGTCCATTGTCATTCCAATGCAGCTCCACTCTTAATTCAGTAGCCTCCAGCATAAAGAGAGCAGAGCAGAGAAGCAGTCCCTTCTCTCCTCATGTCCGCAGGCCCTGAGACACAGAGGGGGAGAGTAGGAGGGGGTCACAGAGCACACCCCCTCCCATCTCTCAGGCCCCTCAGGGTACCATCCCAACCTTGCGCCCCCCCTTTGCATACTTGAGACATTGGAAAAGTACAGAGGAAGGGTTATTATCTGTCCCTAATGGATTAATGTACATTCACTTCAGTCCTCTCAGCTTTCAGCCTCTCAGAACCAGATGTCCCCTGATGTTGTCACGTAGACAATAATTATACAATCTCCCCCTAATGGCTTAACTTTACCTCAACTGCTTCTCCTACTCCATAAGTCAAACTTAATAGCCTCCCATGCCATTAGGTCCCTCCTCCATCTCTTACTTTAACAGACACTCCTCTATCTCCCAAATAAAACAGTTTCCTTCTCCAATTAAGCAACGCTTCCCCTAAACATTCCTTGCATAAAGCAACTGTAAAGATCCATCCCAACCCCATCTTTCAAAACATCCCATTTATCATTCCTCAGGCTGCAAAAAAAAACATCCCTTTGACGTCCTTATGACTAATACCCGTCAATTATCAATGTTCTCTTTAGCATTCTCTCTCTGCTCTGCTCTCTCTGAATAGCCTAAGTGAGTGAGAGGCCAGCTCATGTTTTCCATATTGAGTGGCAGTGTGTCAGGGCTGTGTTGACCTGGATGAGGCTGGTACTGGGGGAGAGGTTAGAGGTTGGCCTTGTTCTCAGGCCTGTTCTGTTCCCAGGCCCTGGTTCTGTTCCAGGAGGGATCCAGGGGGCCAGTGTTCCGGCCCAGTTCCCCCAGCGTGGGAGAACATAATGTGGGAGCTTGGGTACGGTGGTCAGCCCCTAATACCTCTATTGCTTCCAGATTGCCTTCAAATGACTGTTGGGGTTGTTGTTTACACACACACGTGCAGAGACACGGTCACAAGAATGTGCATGCACGCACGTACGCACACACACACGCACGCATGCACACTAAAGCAATAATTTAACTGTCCCCAAGTATGAATTACATTTAAGTCATTTAGCAGACGCTCTTATCCAGAGCGACTTACAGTTAGTGAATACATATTTTTTTATACTGGCCCCCCATGGGAATCAAACCCACAACCCTGGCGTTGCAAACGCCATGCTCTATCAACTGAGCTACATCCCTGCTGGCCATTCCCTCCCCTACCCTGGACGACGCTGGGCCAATTGTGCACCGCCCATGAGTCTCCCGGTCACGGCCGGCTCTGACAGAGCCTGGATTCGAACCTGGATCTCTAGTGGCACAGTTAGCACTGCAATGCAGTGCCTTAGACCACTGCGCCACTCAGGAGACAGAATGTATTGCCTGGGCACTCTGTGGGCTGTTTGTGTGTTTTTACCACGCCTTACGCTCAGATATAGTCCAGCCCAGTGTTTATGTGTGAACAACAGCTGACCCTGTCTGTCTGTTTTAGTAATTGTATTATTGCCGTAAGTAATCAGGCCTCTTTAGAAAACATTCAGAGCTTTGGTGTTGGCTTGGCTTGACGTTGGGTTGTTGTGTTATCAAGCGTATCTTAAAAGGGCGGTTTTGATATTGATTTAGAAATCTCATGGATAGCTTGAGAGATTGGAAAGGCTGCATTAATTAGTCAAGGTCTCTGTCTTAGATGCATTTCTTCCTTTCTAATGGTTTATGTCTGATTGTATTCAGATGTTTTGACATCTGTTGCCCTGCAGGCTAGTAAGGAGCTAAGAATTGCTCCTTGTTTACTGTAGTGAGGTGAGTTGTAGTCATATTCAGTGCAGTATGTGTTGTTGTTGTTACTGTTGTTGTTGTTAGGGGTTCAAGCAGCGAAGCTGGTAAAACTCTATTGTATTTCTTCTATACTGGATTCTTCCCCCAAAGAAAATAACATGCAAATTCCTGTGAGATGGTAAGGCCTAGGAGGGCACAACTTGGCATGATGGTGAAGGCCCATGGGTCACACCCTCTCATGCAATCCCATGCCAATTGGCCACATGGTGGAACTATAGCAAGTCATTGAAAATAATAAGGCCTTGATTGGCTGCTATGAAAGGGAAAGGGGAAAGGGGATACCACAACTGAATGTATTCAACTAAAATGTATCTTCCGCATTTAACCTAATCCTTCTGAATCAATACCAGCTAACTACCACCACAGTGCAGGCCTGGGCACCATAAAGCAAGCCCCCACTTCCAACCACTCTAGCCCTATGTTAGTCAATGGAGCAGCTGTATTGGCTGAAACGTTGGTATCAAAGATCCATTACATTGTTTACAGAGTATCCAATAGTACTAGCCTGCTGGAGATACTTCTTTCTTCTTTCTTCAGTGGAGCTGAGCCAGCCTGTGTGTCGCTATGGGAACTAGACAGTACTGTGTGACTGTGACCTGACGCTGTTTGTTGGTTTTTGTCATCAGCACCTCCTCACACCCAGACTGTGGTCTAACTCATCCACACACAAATTCTCCTCAGATGTTTGCAGCCACTGTAATGTGCTGATGGTTGGATACGGATGACTCCGTGTCTAGAGATGTGCTCTGTGGCTCTGGCTCTGTACTGTAATGCTGTACATCTGCTGTGTAGGGAGAAAGTAGTCACGAAGCTGACCAGCCGGCCGGCGCCAGCTAGGGGGAGCGGGGAGGGATACAGTACCAAAGGTGGAACAGGGCCTTTGATCTTTGGCTGAGAATCTCTCTCTCTCTCTCTCTCTCTCTCTCTCTCTCTCTCTCTCTCTCTCTCTCTCTCTCTCTCTCTCTCTCTCTCTCTCTCTCTCTCTCTCTCTCTCTCTCTCTCTCTCTCTCTCACTCTCTGAAAAGGTGTGGTAGAATTTGATGTTGATTGGGCTTTTCATCTCTGGGGCATTAACTGTAACCTAGTAGTTTATGTTGGCTAAATACTGGCCTGAGATCTGTGCTCGGTGAGATGAAGCACTAATAAAAAGTACTTGGTAATGAGTTGGTGCCATTGAAAGAGCTGGGTGCTAGTGTGTGTGTGGACTCAGTGGGACCAGGGGGAGACGGGGGGAGACGGGGGGGGGGGGGGGGTGATTGGGGAGAGCTCCTAATTGAGGAGAGCTGTCTGTCTGTGTGTTTATGTGTACACACGCTCTGGCCCTCTGGGGCAGGCTGGGGACGTAAAGGGGCTTTTGAAAGAGTGTAAGGGAAGTATTTCACTGTTATGTGTACACAACTCTCTGCTAGAAGCCTGGGAACAGATGGGCTCTGGGAGCAGCAGTCACAGTAGTGTTGGCCATTTTATACACACAGGACATTCACATTGCTCATGTGAAATGGCTTCAGCTCTATTGAACACATTCTCTTAGAGGTCTAGCAACATCCTACAAAGCATTCGATTTCCCAGAAATGTTCAGCCTGGTACTCCGAGGCCATCGCAGTGCTTCTCATAGACTGCAATGTCAGAGTGATGTGCTGATCCTGTCTGTCCTTGTATGTTTGTCTGTGAGGTTAACATGATGCTTTTATGTCTTTCTGTATGCTTGTCTACCTGCCTTTCTGGGGTGTGTGTGTGTTTTATAGGGAGAGATCCAGCAGTTGTTGATTCTGGAGGACGCCCAGGCTGCGGCTGACTACTGCCTGCACTACATCCCTGACTGTGACTCTCCACTGTCCTACAATAGACAGGCCCAGGACCCTGAGCAGGTCAGTACTCCAGCCACCAGGGGCAGACACCCTCTGACATACACACATACCCATACAGTACACACACACACACACACACACACACACACACACACACACACACACACACACACACACACACACACACACACACACACACACACACACACACACACACACACACACACACACACACTATTCCACTCCCCCTTCATCTGTCTTGTTTTATTATCAGTGATTCATCCACCCAAAATATCCTCCTTCAAACTGTAACAGTATTTATTTATTTCTCTCTCTCTTCTCTCATATATGTATGAAATGAAATAATCTGTCATACAGCAGTTGATGATGTGGGTTTCTGGCTGCTAGAAAAGAAACCAGGGTGGAATTCCATCTGTAGTTAGTGAACAGAGACACTGTAGATGCTAACATGACACACAACCTTACAACCTCAGTAAAACTTCAATTGAACACAAAGACAAGGATTGCATTCCACACCTTCTATAAAAGCCAGATGGTCCCTGATCATAATTTGATTATGGAACAGAAAGTGTATTTGTCTGGACTGCTTTAGAGTTGAACTCACATAGCGATATTTCCAGTTTGAGTTCTATCTATGTTGGCTCAGTCTGGGCTCAAGATTTCAGAGATACAGTTTCATGTTGAGGCTTTTTGCAGGTCCTGACTACACAGTACAGTGCTGGCTGCTACAGCTGCTTTCTCAGAAGCCCCTTGTTTCAGCCAACAGATAAAACGATGAACAAGCAGCATGCATATCAATAGAGCGGTGTCTGCCAGAGACCTGCCCAGCCCCGCCTTCTGTAGCCCAGCCCAGCCAATCCCAGCCTTGGCCATGTACTGCATCACATGATTTATCACTACCCAGTCTTCTCGGCCTAGGGGCCCGGAACACACCACTAATACACAGGGAGGCCAGGCCAGAGAAGAATTAGACATCAGTCAGTCCATCAGTCAGCATCAGAAGAAGCTCCTCTCCCTGTCTTTGATAGTGAGCCAGCAGCAGAGCGGTGCATCTCTCCCTGGGCTGTGTTGAGCTGCTTCAGCCTGAACAAACACAGCCAGAAGCCTCGTAAATCTCACAGGATATCACCACTCTGGCTCTTCCCCTCTTCACCAGGCCTGCTTGGGCAATGGGATCAACCTGGGAGAGATTACTTATATTATGATGTACAGTGGGGAAAAAAAGTATTTAGTCAGCCACCAATTGCGCAAGTTCTCCCACTTAAAAAGAAGAGAGAGGCCTGTAATTTTCATCATAGGTACACGTCAACTATGACAGACAAATTGAGAAAAAAAAAATCCAGAAAATCACATTGTAGGATTTTTTATGAATTTATTTGCAAATTATGGTGGAAAATAAGTATTTGGTCACCTACAAACAAGCAAGATTTCTGGCTCTCACAGACCTGTAACTTCTTCTTTAAGAGGCTCCTCTGTCCTCCACTCGTTACCTGTATCAATGGCACCTGTTTGAACTTGTTATCAGTATAAAAAACACCTGTCCACAACCTCAAACAGTCACACTCCAAACTCCACTATGGCCAAGACCAAAGAGCTGTCAAAGGACACCAGAAACAAAATTGTAGACCTGCACCAGGCTGGGAAGACTGAATCTGCAATAGGTAAGGAGCTTGGTTTGAAGAAATCAACTGTGGGAGCAATTATTAGGAAATGGAAGACATACAAGACCACTGATAATCTCCCTCGATCTGGGGCTCCACGCAAGATCTCACCCCGTGGGGTCAAAATGATCACAAGAACGGTGAGCAAAAATCCCAGAACCACACGGGGGGACCTAGTGAATGACCTGCAGAGAGCTTTGACCAAAGTAACAAAGCCTACCATCAGTAACACACTACGCCGCCAGGGACTCAAATCCTGCAGTGCCAGACGTGTCCCCCTGCTTAAGCCAGTACATGTCCAGGCCCGTCTGAAGTTTGCTAGAGTGCATTTGGATGATCCAGAAGAGGATTGGGAGAATGTCATATGGTCAGATGAAACCAAAATATAACTTTTTGGTAAAAACTAAACTCGTCGTGTTTGGAGGACAAAGAATGCTGAGTTGCATCCAAAGAACACCATACCTACTGTGAAGCATGGGGGTGGAAACATCATGCTTTGGGGCTGTTTTTCTGCAAAGGGACCAGGACGACTGATCCGTGTAAAGGAAAGAATGAATGGGGCCATGTATCGTGAGATTTTGAGTGAAAACCTCCTTCCATCAGCAAGGGCATTGAAGATGAAACGTGGCTGGGTCTTTCAGCATGACAATGATCCCAAGCACACCGCCCGGGCAACGAAGGAGTGGCTTCGTAAGAAGCATTTCAAGGTCCTGGAGTGCCCTAGCCAGTCTCCAGATGTCAACCCCATAGAAAATCTTTGGAGGGAGTTGAAAGTCCATGTTGCCCAGCGACAGCCCCAAAACATCACTGCTCTAGAGGAGATCTGCATGGAGGAATGGGCCAAAATACCAGCAACAGTGTGTGAAAACCTTGTGAAGACTTACAGAAATGTTTGACCTGTGTCATTGCCAACAAAGGGTATATAACAAAGTATTGAGAAACATTTTATTGACCAAATACTTATTTTCCACCATAATTTGCAAATAAATTCATAAAAAATCCTACAATGTGATTTTCTGGATTTTTTTTCCTCATTTTGACTGTCATAGTTGACGTGTACCTATGATGAAAATTACAGGCCTCTCTCCTCTTTTTAAGTGGGAGAACCTGCACAATTTGTGGCTGACTAAATACTTTTTTCCCCCACTGTATGTGTGTGTTTATGTTTGAGAAAAGTGTTTTGGAGAGAGGAAAAGTAAGAAATATTGATTCATGCGGCCAGCAGGGAGATACTGTCAGGGTCTGTGAGAACAGTGTTCTGTGTGTAGCCTCCTATGCCCGGCTGTGTGTCTCTGTCTGTGTCTGGGTGTGTCCAATTCCTGGCGGTGCTCCTGGGACTGTCCATCAGTGCCTTATCAGACGTAGAGCGTGTTGGCTGTTCTAGATCTACAGCTGAGAAACCCGCTCTGTGTCCAAGACGTTGTTAGCATCACTCACTCTACTGACCCACTTTCTATCCTCCTCACACTGACCCTGTTTACAAACCATCACAATCTCCTCATCAACCTATTTTACAGACCAGACCTTCAACAACGTTCTCATTCAAAGGTCGTCAATAATAGTGACAGAAATGACATTTATGTTTACATATTTTAACAGCCCAACAGGGTCATTAACACACTGACCCCTGACCTCATGAGAAAGTATGTCCTCTCTGTTGACAGGCCAGTGGTAAACAGTGATAAATAAACAGTAGTTTCATTCACGACTACTCTGTGTGTGTGGTGTGTGTGTGGTGTGTGTGTGTGTGTGTGTGTGTGTGTGAGTTTGCTGGACGAGTGGGTCTTGAACTGTGTCTGACCCTACTGAATGTGTGCATAGGCGCAGCGGTCTAAGGCATTGCATCTCAGTGCTTGAGGCGTCACTGCAGACCACCTGGTTCAATTCCAGGCTGTATCACAACCGGCCGTGATTGGGAGTCCCATAGGGCGGGGCACAATTGGCCCAGCGTCGTCCGGGTTTGGCCGGTGTAGGCTGTCATTGTAAATAAGAATTTCTTCTTAACTGACTTGCCTAGTTAAATAAAGGTAAAATAAAAATAAAATGTTATGTTTCAGGTATTTCACCATGTTGTTGTTTCTCTTGTTCGTGCCCCACCTCCTCCCTTGCCCCCTCCCCCTTTCATAAAAGACCCCTCAACTTAAACCTGATCCCATGATGCAAAGCGATGATCCCATGACACAAAGCGACGAGCCAGAGGAGCCAATGAAACGCTCCAAAAAAGACAGGAAAGGCAAAAAGGACAAAAAGAAGCGTGACAAGAAGGGGAGGGGCAAGAAGGAGTCGAGGAAGAAGAGAAAAGAAGGAGAGGTGGGTCCAGAGGAGGAGGGTTTCCTCCAGGTGTCCACAGTTTGGCCTAAAAACCAATCCCAAGAAACCTACTATCCCACTGAAAAGCCCTCTACGATGGAACTGTTCACTCCTGAAGCTGTCACCCCAACTGAAGCCTCTGACCAGACCACCATGATCCCAGAGAGGCCCACACACAGGCCTAACTCTGACATTGAGGACCCCTCCGTGGTGCCCAGTGCACTGCCTGAGTCAAAGGTCACTGAGGAGGTAGACTGAAAAGTTATGATGTAGCTCCCCTCCCCCTCCATCCCATCCCTAACAGAGCACTGACCCACTCTCCCAGAATGCTTCATCTACACCCTCTGTCAACCTGCTCCTCTCCTCACTGTGACCACTAACCTAACCAGCACTACCTTAATCACCTCCTCCCCTTCCAGGACTCCCAATGGAACACGGAGAATCCCTGCATCCCTCTAGTTCTAGATTAAGTAGAGTATGTAGACAATCTAGAATTTAGACTGTGTTCTACACTATGTTATAACACATAGACAACTGTGACTCAATTGTCTCAATAGTTGTTTATGGGTTGCAAGACATTTATATGAAAATAGTTGTGTGGATAACATTGGTTCTGTCTTTTGTGGTACCTGTAGTTTAACATACATATCTGAGTAAGTGGTATGTATGAGGTGTTGTGTGTTGTAGTTTTGCTGTGATATCTATTTGACCTGAGAGTTTATGTCCTTACCCAAACCCAGTCCAAGCCTTTTATTTTAAAGCTATACATGTATCCAAAACAGTATGCCTCCTGTGTTGTATTCCATCTTTCTAAATTTGTTCTGTCAGCAAATACTGTATGTAGGTCAAAGAAAGTCCCCATGATAGAAGTCTCTAAAGCTTATCTTTTGCTACTTTTGCTACTTTGCTAAATTTGCTGATTTTCATACTCTCGCTGTAATGGCTGTCACAATCCATGTCATGCTTCCATCACTACCTGGTTGTGAAATATTCCATCAGCATAGGATGATTAATAACACACTGAGGCTTGCTACATGTATAACCTGCCTATTCCCATAACCGACACCTGTGCTGCTAACTAGCTTAGCAAACTGTACGCTATGATAGACTGTGTAAAATGGAGGCGCTGGGCAAACTCAGAGGACTGGGCAGACAGACAGACCATAATGTTGCCCAGTGTCTCCATGGTTTCTGTTACCATGGCTCTGACCTTAAACCCTCTGGCCTTGTGCAGGAGGAGAGGCCGGACAAAAAGCCCCAGATGGAGGAGTTCGACGAAAACTTCTATGGCGAGCTGTATGATGACCTCGAAGTCTCCATGGTAACAATGGGTCCCAATATCAGCGGGTACGAGGTCAGTTGAATTGAGATTTTGATATACTGTGTGTTCATACGGTGAAGCTCATGTTCTGTAGCAGCTCAGTTATTAATGTGGTCATTGGATCATGTGATTTACTGTCATGTTGAATGGACTCGTAGATTGTAGAGTACGAGGACATAAGTAACGAGACAGAGAACCAGGAGTATGAAGAGTATGAGACCTACGAGGACGGATATGGCTTTGCAGAGAGAGAGGGGGCTGATACCTGGGATGGAGAGGTAGGCCTCACCAATCATACAGTTAAAGTGTATTCACTCAGAGACTTCTGAGACTCCTGTACCTGACCTACAACTACTGTACACACAGTAGGTAATCAATCACCTAACATGTCTGTTCATATGTCTGTCTGTCTGTCTGTCTGTGTCTGTCTGTGCCTCAGGCCAGTGTCAGAGCACTGAAAGGAGAGAAGGGGGAGCCTGCCATCGTTGAACCGGTGAGCTTGAGTATTCAGACAGAATTTCGCTCATGTAAATCAATTTTAGGCCCTTAATATTTTATTTTCGTTGTTTTGTCATGTAATCTTTATGACTCTATAAAGACTATATGGAGTATTTCTGTCTTTATGTTGAATAATCTCTGGTATATACTGTATGTGTTTATATGCCATTGCCATATCTGTATGATGTTGTGCAGGGTACACTGGTGGAGGGACCAGTCGGCCCCCCAGGACCAGAGGTAAGACCCCTGCTCCCAGGCATTACCACTACATCATATTACATTGATATTACATTGATACTACATTCATACTACATAATAGTACATCATAACTATCACTCCACTTTACTGCCCATATTGATACTATGGACCAATGCTGATTGACTGTGTGTTTATTCTCCAGGGTCTTCCAGGCGGACCAGGACCAATGGGCCCCCGAGGACCCAGTGGAGACCCAGGTGATTTGGTGAGTATCCTCCCCCGTGGAGTATTGACCCGTAGTGGACTGTCCTCAGGGACAGTATGACCATAGTCAGGGTCCACAGGGACTGTGCTCTGGGTTTGACCATGACCACAGATTGACCACAGCCTACACAAACAGGTCAGGGATGCTGTGACCTCACTGTGGTCTTGACTGTAACCTTACTGGGCTTAAGGGAGTAAAGGACTGGTGATGACTCATGTGTGGGTTTGACCTAATTCACTCTGTTGAAATGTGTGTGTGTGTGTGTGTGTGTGTGTCTGTGTGCGTGCCTTTGTGTGTTTGTGTTCCCTCCCTGAACACAGCCTCATTCCCACAGACACAAACCAACAGATGCTCAGTCGTCTCTAGTGATCTAAAGGATTTTTAACGATGTTGTTGTAGGAGAAAAACATAGAGGTCTTCTAACTCAGTTTCACCTTAAATCAAACACATCAAATCAGATCATCAAACAAGCTTTTCTTCTTTTAAAGCAGATCTGAAACAAATGTAAAAACAGTGTTCCATAATCCTGCCTGTCTACAGTATTTAATCTTCATAATTGTTTATGCCTTGCAGTATACAACAGTATTCTCAGTGTGACAGATACTATAATAATGTTCCTATTGAGACAAATGCCTTCGTCTCTGCTGCAGAGAGTCTAGGTGATTGACAGTTTGGGATTAGCTCATACCTCTAATTCTTTATGAGGTGCTTAATGGTACATTAGGCTTTCGATAGGGGCATCAAGCAGAAAATCTTCTACCCCCCCCCCCCCCCCCCCCCCCCCCCCCTCTCTAGAGACAAGCTAATTGATATGAACCTGAGAGTGAGTAACATGCCCTCTGGAAATGAAGCAGAGGTTGTTTTAACAGAGATTGGATTGTAGGGCTCATTCTTGTCTGTTTAGCGTTATGTACACACTGGAACACTCCCACTTACAGGCCTATACTGTACATACTTGTGTTGTTCACTGTATACACACTCATACAGTCATGATTAAAATCCTCCCTCTCTCTCTCCCTTTGTCTCTCAGGGTCCTCCAGGGCGTCCTGGTTTAGCTGGGGTTGATGGGATACCTGGTCCTCCAGGAACCATGCTGATGTTACCAGTAAGAATGAGATAAAACTCTCTTTATTTAAACTTCCCTCATCTGAACACACACTCATGTTCAGTTCCCATTGACTATGGCTGAATCCCAAATCACTCCCTTCCCCTCTGCCCTCAATTTGCGCGTTCACGTGCGCCTCCCCCATTTGCACAAGTGTCCCAAAGCTGAGGGAGTGAAAATTATCGAGGATGTAGGGGCCTCAGATAGACACTTCGACCGAACCAGCAAGGCTGCAGGCTTCAGAGCGAGGTACTATCCTGACTATCCTGATTACTGTTATACTATACCTGTACATCATTCAAGTCCGGAGTGTGTCCCGAAGTTGATGGGTTTACTGATCCCATCATCACTCTCTGGAAGTCACCCTCAGAGTTTCGTCAGCAACACGTGAAAACGGAGAGCCCTCCTAGTGAGTTGGTAGGGGTGGGGGGGTGGTTTGGGATTCATCTTACAGTATGTGATGCTGTCCTGAGGCAGGGCAGTAACAGCTCTGAGCCACTAGGTGGAGCTGTGAGATTGAATGCTGATGAGGCCAGGTGAAATCTACATTGTGTATTCAAATAAAATAAAATCAAATGTTATTTGTCACACACACGTTTAGCATATGTTATAGCGGGTGTAGCAAAATACTTGTGCTTCTAGCTCCGACAGTGCAGTAATATCTAACAAGTAATATCGAACAATTTCACAACATATACCCAATACACACAAAAATAGTAAGGAATGGAATTTAAGAATATATACATATATGGACAAGCAATGACAGAGCGGCATGGACTAAGATACAGTACAATATTATAGAATAGAATACAGTATATACATATGAGATGAGTAGTGCAAGATATGTAAACATTATTAAAGTGACTAGTGTTCCATTTCTTAAAGTGGCCAGTGATTTCAACAGGCAGCAGCAGCCTCTAATGTGCTGGTGATGGCTATTTAACAGTCTGATGGCCTTGAGATAGAAGCTGTTTTTCATTCTCTCTGTCCCAGCTTTGATGCACCTGTACTGACCTCGCCTTCTGGATGATAGCGGGGTGAACAGGCAGTGACTCGGGTGGTTGATGTCCTGTATGTGTCTTGGAGGGCGGGTAGTTTGCCCCCGGTAATGCGTTCGGCAGACCGCACCATCCTCTGGAGAGCCCTGCGGTTGCGGGCGGTGCAGTTGCCGTACCAGGCGGCGATACAGCCCGACAGGATGCTCTCAATTGTGCATCTGTAAAAGTTTGTGAGGGTTTTAGGTGCCAAGCCAAATTTCTTCAGCCTCCTGAGGTTGAAGAGGCTCTGTTGCGCCTTCTTCACCACACTGTCTGCGTGGGTGGACCATTTCAGTTTGTCGGTGATGTGTACGCCAAGGAACTTGAAGCTTTCCACCTTCTCCACTGCGGTCCTGTCGATGTGGATAGGAGGGTGCACCCTCTGCTGTTTCCTGAAGTCCACGATCATCTCCTTTGTTTTGTTGACGTTGAGTGAGAGGTTATTTTCCTGGCGCCACACTCCCAGAGCCCTCACCTCCTCCCTGTAGGCGGTCTCGTCATTGTTGGTAATCAAGCCTACTACTGTTGTGTCGTCTGCAAACTTTATGATTGCGTTGGAGGCGTGCTTGGCCACGCAGTCATGGGTGAACAGGGAATACAGGAGGGGGCTGAGCATGCACCCTTGTGGGGCCCCAGTGTTGAGGATCAGCGAAGTGGAGATGTTGTTTCCTACCTTCACCACCTGGGGGTGGCCCGTCAGGAAGTCCAGGACCCAGTTGCATAGGGCGGGGTTCAGACCCAGGGCCTCAAGCTTAATGATGAGCTTGGAGGGTACTATGGTGTTGAATGCTGAGCTATAGTCAATGAACAGCATTCTTACATATGTATTCCTCTTGTCCAGATGGGATAGGGCAGTGTGCAGTGTGATGGCGATTGCATCGTCTGTGGATCTATTGGGGCGGTAAGCAAATTGAAGTGGGTCTAGGGTGACAGGTAAGGTAGAGGTGATATGATCCTTGACTAGTCTCTCAAAGCACTTCATGATGACAGAGAGAGGGGAGAGAAGGACTTATACTGCATGTATTTAGGTTTATCACTCTACTCCTTTCTCTTGTAGTTCCAACATGGTGGTGATTCTCAGAAGGGGCCTGTGGTGTCAGCCCAGGAGGCTCAGGCTCAGGCCATCCTGCAGCAGACCAAGGTAACGTCCACCTGGCCACTACTACTGTAACCTGTAGCATCATTACTCCTTTTACATTAGAAATGAGCCTTGACTTATCTAACGTTGTTGTTCTTACCCTTGTTTATTCCAGATGTCGTTGAAGGGACCTCCAGGTCCACTGGGTCTTACAGGGCGACCAGGCCCACTGGTAGGATACCCACCTAGCTTGAACCATAAGCCACAACCTTAACTTCTACCTTTATCCTCTATCTACACTATATTCTCCTGTCTACAGTCCACCACAACCACATTAACCAAAGCCCATTTTGTCTCCATGCACATACAAACAATCAGCAATCTGATCATCACTACTGTGACTTAACAGGCTATTCTTTATATTTCCTTGTTTGGTTTGACTGTCTTTCCTCTCTGTGTTTAGGGTCTTACTGGTTCCTCTGGACTTAAAGGTGACGCTGGAGAACATGGCCCAAGGGTAAGAGGATATTCTATTTTGACTTGCTACCACAGAGCAGTCAAGGTCCATTTAGATTTTGATGTATCCTACTGGTCTCACTCTCTCACTGTCCCTCTCTGTTTCTCCCCCCCCCTCTCTCTTCATCTCTCTCCTCCTCCTCCTACTCCTCCTCCTCCCCCTCTCTCTGTCTATTCTCTCTCCTCCTCCTCCTCCTCCTCCCCCTCTCTCTGTCTATTCTCTCTCTCTCCTCCTCCCCCTCTCTCTCCATCTATTCTTTTTTTCTCTCTCTCTCCTCCTCCCCCTCTCTCTCCGTCTATTCTTTCTCAGGGTCCCCGTGGTGTTCCAGGCCCTCCAGGACTCAACGGGAAGTTAGGAAAGAGGGTGAGACTTCTTAGTGAGCTATGTGATACTGTCATCATGCTCCAGAAACCAAACTGTGGACTGTAACTCTATACAGATGTTCTGAACTGTTGTTGTACTCCTTGATCAGATACAACCAACTGTTACAGTTTTTCTCAATTGCTAAGACACATTTCTTGAAAGCTGCTCTCCTTTTCTCTTTTCTCTTAACTGTGAACACAAAACCCAATTTTAAAGCTACATTCACAAAACCTCACTCTTCTTGCAAAACCAAACTTTCACCTCAAAACAGTTCAATCTGTGCTCAAAACTGAACTATGTTGTCAAATCGTGCCCCGAGTCAATCAAAATTAAAAACACTACTGAACAGTCACTAAACACTACGTAGAAAAATAGAAAACACAATGCTCAGGACATGAAGCTGGAGAAATAAATGTTTATTGTTCACTGTAGGCTAAATGCATGTTGCAAAACAAAAAAAAACTGTGCATTTAGCACTTGTACAAAAAGACAAAACAGAAATCTTGTGCATTTACATGTAGCACTGTCACGATCGTCGGGAAGAGAGGAGGACCAAGGCGCAGCGTTGCAGACGAACATACTCTTTATTTATGATAAACAATCAAAACAACAAAACGATAACGTGACAGTCAATGGTCAAACACGAACAAGATCCCACAACCACTGTGGGCAAACAGCCTGTTAAAATGTGGTTCCCAATCAGAGACAACCAGCCACAGCTGACACTCGTTGCCTCTGATTGAGAACCACACTGGCCAACATAGAAATGAAATACATAGATCTACACACCCTGGCTCAACATAACAGTGTCCCCAGAGCCAGGGCGTGACAAGCACTTGTAAAAACAAACAGAAATCTTATGCGTTTGCCACTTGTGTACAGTAAGCCCCAGAGAGTACAAAAATATACAAATAAGTGCATTACTCAGCCACAGCATCATGTCTCCGTACTGGGTCAGGCCACAGGACTTCATCCACATCACAGGCCACATTTTGTCTGGCCAGGCAACGGGGGAAAAAACCCCTGGCATGCCGTATCCAGGCTTGGCATGCCTCCACACCTATGTCACCACAGGCAAGTCCCATGGCTTGCAGGAGATTTACCCTGGTGTAAGGTTGGCGTTCATATACCTTCCACCGCCATGAGGAGAATAATTCCTCAATGGGGTTTAGGAAAGGGGAGTACGGTGGAAGGCAAAGATTGATAAAACCTAGGTTCATATTGTACCACTCTCTAACCTGGAGGGCTCTGTGAAAACTCACATTGTCCCAAACAACAACATAGATGGGATGCTCATCCTGCTGCCCTAACAAAGCATCTCACATGTGATTGAGGAAAATGAGGAGCTGGTGAGTGTTGTAGGGCCCCAGGTTGGCATGATGGTGGACAACCCCATGATTGCTGAAGGCAGCACATAATGTGACATTGCCACCACGCTGCCCAGGAACACCAACAATGGCCCGATGGCCAATCACATTACGGCCTCTCCTTCTCCTTTTGGTGAGATTAAACCCAGCTTCATCCATGTAGATGTATTGATGGGGTCTTTCCATTGCATCCCGTTGAAAAACCCTCTGTAGAAATAGATATCGTTTTGTAAGTGATACGGAAAAAGTGGTTTAGACCACTACAGGAAATCACTACTTAGAGTAATCAACATTGAATGTGTCTGGATATATGCCAACCTGTACATACTGGAATCTTTGCTCTTTGACTCTGTCTGAGTTGCGATCAAAGGGCACTCTGTATAGCTGTTTCATGCGCAGTCTGTTGCGCTTGAGGACACGATCAACAGTAGAGAGGCTGACACTGTTGATACCCTCAAAATGTAAATGGTCCTCAATGATCTTCTGCTGAATTTCGCTCAGTTTAATGGCATTGTTCTCACGGACCATATCAACAATTAGGATCTCTTGGTGTGGGGAGAACATACCTGTCCTCCCACCCCCATGTGGCAGTCTTTCAATTCTACAAAAAGAGAACATGGAGTTACAAAAAATATACATGGAATACTAGGCCTACAAACAGTTAGACCAACCCTCCATTACAATACTACAGTACATTGGTACAGTGATGTACTGAAACATATATTTACTTACAGTATACTGTGGTACAGTATATAGTATGTCATACAGTAATTGCTGTCAACATTTACATACTGTACTATAATGTCAAAAAAAGGTAATTACCTGTTCTCTTCTCTAAATCTTCGGATTATGGTGGACACAGTGAATCTACTGATGTTTGGTTGTACCCTTTGTCCAGCCTCCCTCATGCTCATACCATGGACAAGAACATGGTCAATCACAGTAGCTCTGATTTCATCAGATATTACTGTTCTTTGTCTTCGCTGACCACCTCGACCTCCTCTCACACGAACTCTTCCTCTCAGATTTCTATCCATTGTAGGGCCTCACAAACCAGTGCTCTCTGAACTGGCTTACTGTATATGTTCCCTCACATCATTAGCCACAAGTGTGATCAATTTTGAGTTGTTGTGTTCAAGTGGTGACACCTGTGCTCTAATTGTGTTTGACTTTTGTCACCTGTGCTCACCATTATGCAGCACGGGTGCATCACAATGAAAATGTGTTGGCAAGTTATGTCTAAACAGGTGAAAAGTGCTTATGGTTTTGCCAAAAGAGTGATTGATTCAATCAGTGGGTTCAGGCAACTGAGCATTTGGTTCAGACAATAGGGTTTAGTGTTTAAGCAATTGAGAAAAACTGTAATACAACAAATATTTTCTCTCTCTCTCACCTTACCTGTCCCTTCATTGACAGTAGTGTCAGTGGTAGTGTGTGTGTTATGAGTGTTAGGGTGACCTGTATCCCTGGCAGATGGCTGTTTAACTCTGTATGTGTGTCCTCTCCTAGGGCCGGGCTGGAACGGATGGAGGTCGCGGAGCACCGGGGGAGACAGGGGGGAAAGTAAGCTCCCTAAAATCACAATTCATCACAGTACAGTTGGTGAAAATCGAAGTAAATTGTGTTAAGGCAGAACCTCCGCTACTCAAGTTTGTTTGTGTGTTGTGTACTGTACCTGCACAGTGGATCGTTTGTTTTGGAATAAACTGTACTATTGGTGTGTCTGGCAGTTCATCTGACTGATCCAATTTAGTGTATGTTCTTGTGCGAGTTAGCAACATAATCATGATCGAATGAATGGTTCCACAATAATTGTCAAATGAAGTCTTAATTTTCACTTGCTAAATAACCCTAGAGCTAGCAGAGGATCTGAGACTAAGTTTATTAGACATATTGACCACGCCAGCGATTCAATAGTTTACAGCTGCAGGAAGAGCTTGGTAAATAAATGACGCTACCCTGATAGTCTCTGACAGGACAGCAGTGTCTTTATCTGTCAGAACATGGTTCCAGAACAGGACAGAACAGCTAATACTCTGGGCTCCCAGTCCCAGCCAGAGACACCACACACACACACACACACACACACACACACACACACACTGTTCCCAGTCAGAGCTAATAACACACTGCCAGATGGGAGAGTCCACAGGGACGGCGTCTCGATCTTTTGTGTGTCTCCATCTCATGCACTTGGGTCTATTTATCCTCAGGGGGACAGAGGCTTTGACGGACTGCCAGGTCTCCCAGGAAACAAGGGCCACAGAGTGAGTGAGGACTAGCAACCCAAGTCTCTACTGTCTGTCTTTCTTTCCTCCTGAGACTGTGTGCATGTTTAACATTTATGTGTGGGAAGAATTTGTGACTGCTGATGTGTTTAATGGCATTGAACATCAAGTCTACATACGCCTTACACAGTATATAATGTATTTTCTCCTAGGGGGAGAGAGGGAAGCCTGGACCACATGGGCCTGATGGAGAGCCAGGAGAAAAGGTGAGGACAAAAAGTAACCATTAATGTACTCCAGGACCCTGCTGAGTAACCACACCCAACATCCCCTTCAGCAAAGTCCAGAAAACATGGACCCCATGGGCAGCCATAGAAATTGAATTCCATTTCTATGTGTGCTGCATGTTGAAACCAGAGCCACCTACTGTTCTGTATAATATACGTACATACAGTACCAGTCCAAAGTTTGGACACACCTACTCATTCAAGGGTTTTTCTTTATTTGTATTATTTTCTACATTGTAGAATAATAATGAAGACATCACAACTATGAAATAACACATATGGAATCATGTAGTAATCAAAAAAGTGTTAAACAAATTTCTTCAAATAGCCACCCTTTGCCTTGATGACAGCTTTGCACACTCTTGGCATTCTCTCAACCAGCTTCACCCGGAATGCTTTTCCAACAGCCTTGAAGGAGTTCCCACATATGCTGAGCACTTGTTGGCTGCTTTTCCTTCACTCTGCTGTCTGACTCATCCCAAACCATCTCAATTGGGTTGAGGTCGGGGGATTGTGGAGGCCAGGTCATCTGATGCAGCACTCCATCACTCTCCTTCTAAAATAGCCCTTACACAGCCTGGAGGTGTTTTGGGTCATTTTCCTGTTGAAAAACTAATAATAGTCCCACTAAGCCCAAACCAGATGGGATGGCGTATCGCTGCAGAATGCTGTGGTAGACATGCTGGTTAAGTGTGCCTTGAATTCTAAATAAATCACAGACAGTGTCACCAGCAAAGCACCCCCACACCATCATACCACCTCCTCAATGCTTTACGGTGGGAACTACACATGCGGAGATCATCCGTTCACCCACATCGCGTCTAATGTCCATTGCTCGTGTTTCTTGGTCCAAGCAGGTCTCTTCTTATTATTGGTGTCCTTTAGTAGTGGTTTCTTTGCAGCAATTCGACCATGAAGGCCTGATTCACACAGTCCCCTCTGAACAGTTGATGTTGATGTGTCTGTGACTTGAACTCTGTGAAGCATTTATTTGGGCTGCAATTTCTGAGGCTGGTAACTCTATTGAACTTATCCTCTGCAGCAGAGGCAACTCTGGGTCTTCCATTCCTGTGGCGGTCCTCATGAGAGCCAGTTTCATCATAGCACTTGATGGGTTTTGCGACTGCACTTTCAAAGTTCTTGAAATGTTCCGTATTGACTGACCTTCATGTCTTAAAGTAATGATGGACTGTCGTTTCTCTTTGCTTATTTGAGCTGTTCTTGCCATAATATGGACTTGGTCTTTTACCAAATAGGGCTATCGTCTGTATACCCCCCCCCCCCCCCCACCCCACCTTGTCACAACACAACTGATTGGATCACATGCATTAAGAAGGAAAGAAATTGCACAACTTAACTTTTAAGAAGGCACACCTGTTAATTGAAATGCAATCCAGGTGACTACCTCATGAAGCTGGTTGAGAGAATGCCAAGAGTGTGCAAAGCTGTCATCAAGGCAAAGGGTGGCTATTTCAAGAATCTAAAATATATTTTGATTTATTTAACACTTTTTTGGTTACTACATGATTCCATATGTGTTATTTCATAGTTTCGATGTCTTCACTATTATTCTACAACATAAAAAATAGTAAAAAGAAAGAAAAACCCTTAAATGAGTAGGTGTGTCCAAACTTTTGACTGGTAGTGTACATATTATACGAAAAAGTATGAAAATGTATGCACTCACTACTGTAAGTCGCTCTGGATAAGAGCGTCTGCTATATGACAACATTTTCCGTGAGGCAAGGTAAAAGTGAAGGACACAATTACCATGATCGGTAGAGGAAATTCTCCTACGATAGTTGAGCAACGCACACAGATCAAAGCACTCACCTTTGAGATAAAATAGAAAAACCTATAATTTTTAATACATCTCTGTCGTTCTGGCTTTAGTTCACTCAGACAACAACAAGCAATGCAAATATCAATGATTAAAATCCAGACAGGATTATAAATGAAGTATGTTTCAGACTATTTTTAGGCTACTGAAGATGAATTCTGGTCAGGACAAGGCATGTTAGTTATGTGAAAGGGGGGATATATAGAGGATGCGTGTAATGTATGATGTAGACATATGTCAGTCAACTGATTTCTTTAATAGGACAGAGAGGCACATGAAGATAGGATAATATTCTCTCTCTGTTGACTCTTTCTCTTGTGTCATTTTTTAGGGTTTAGATGGACCCTTAGGGCCGAGTGGACAGCCCGGTGAACCTGTGAGTAACCACGTCCAAATGCAGCATCGGCACATTCTACACACACACACATTTCTCCACCCCACAGGCGGCTCTATGTGCGCAGTGTGCCCAGGCTGATTGTCTACGATTCACACTCCATCTTTATCCCAGCAGGTGAGGATGAGGTCCAGTGGGGCTCTGCCTCTCTAAATGGATCACCCAGCACACAAAGAAATAGAGGGCTGTAATAGACATGTTAGGAGGAGTGTGTTCTGGCTCACACACATCACACTGAATGGGGATCTACCGATCGTCTACCGATCATTCAGCGCACTGTTGAGGCCGTCTGAGTCAGAATGACGCAAGATTCTACATGTAAAATCGGTTTGCACTCGGTTCGCAAGTACTCTCCGCAGGCAACCACTATTGGTGGTTCGAGCCCTTAAACTACAGAGACTCAGGGAAATAGAGGAGCTGGGGGTTTGGATGAGAGAGAGAGGGGAAGAGAGGAGGAAGTGGGAGGGAGTGAGGGAGAGAGGGAGGGAGGGAGGTGTGAGATAGAAATTCAGTGGGTGGTGAATGAGATAAGAGCAAGAGAGAGAGAGGGAAAGGGAGAGAGAGATAGAAGAGATTAAATCCTGGCCTGAATGATTATATTTCCATATCAATCACTTCAAGGGAGATCACAGATGTGGCTTTGGAACAGGTGGCTTGGCTGGTGTACAAAGAGTGATGCTGACAAAAACAACACACACAGAAACACCCCCCAACCCGCTTCATCTCTCCTCACAGACAGACACTCACTCTCACACAAATACACACTTGCCCATATGCGCACAGGCTCATTAACTCGCTCTTCCTCAGACACACTGACACACTCACACATACACATACACCACACTCAAACATACTTATAATATCTCTCAAACACGCACACACTAATGCATGATGAGCACACAGACACACACACACAGACACAAACACACACACACAGACATACACACATACAGTGCATTCAGAAAGTATTCAGACCCCTTTGACTTTTTCCACATTTTGTTACGTTACAGCCTTATTCTAAAATTGATTAAATAGTTTTTTCCCTCATCAATCTACACACAATACCCCATAATGACAAAGTAAAAACAGCTTTTTTGAAATTTTTGCAAATGTATAATACAAAAAAAAACGGAAATGTAACATTTACATAAGTATTCAGACCCTTTACTCAGTACTTTGTTGAAGCACCTTTGGCAGTGATTACAGCCTCGAGTCTTCTTGGGTATGATGCTACAAGATTGGCACACCTGTATTTGGGGAGTTTCTCCCATTCTTCTCTGCAGTACCTCTCAAGCTCTGTCAGGTTGGATGGGGAGCATTGTGCACAGCTATTTTCAGGTCTCTCCAGAGATGTTCGATCGGGTTCAAGTCCGGGCTCTGGCTAGGCCACTCAAGGACATTCAGAGACTTGTCCCGAAGCCACTCCTGTGTTGTCTTGGCTGTGTGCTTAGGGTCATTGTCCTGTTGGAAGATGAACCTTCACCCCAGTCTGAGGTCCTGAGTGCTCTGGAGCTGGTTTTCCTCAAGGATCTCTCTGTACTTGGCTCCGTTCATCTTTGCCTCGATCCTGACTAGTCTTCCAGTCCCTTCCGCTGAAAAACATCCCCACAGCATGAGGCTGCTACCACCATGCTTCACCGTAGGGATGGTGCCAGGTTTCCTCCAGAAGTGACGCTTGGCATTCAGGCCAAAGAGTTCAATCTTGGTTTCATTAGACCAGAGAATCTTGTTTCTCATGGTCTGAGAATATTTAGGTGCCTTTTGGCATACTCCAAGCGGGCTGTCATGTGCCTTTTACTGAGGAGTGGCTTCCATCTGGCCACTCTACCATAAAGGCCTGATTGGTGGAGTGTTGCAGAGATGGTTGTCCTTCTGAAAGGTTCTCCCATCTCCACAGAGGAACTCTAGAGCTCTGTCAGAGTGACCATCGGGTTCTTGGTCACCTACCTGACCAAGGCCCTTCTCCTCCTATTGCTCAGTTTGGCCAGGCGGCCAGCTCTAGGAAGAGTTTTGGTGGTTCCAAACTTCTTCCATTTAAGAATGATGGAGGCCACTGTGTTCTTGGGGACCTTCAATGCTGCAGAAATGTTTGGTACCCTTCCCCAGATCTGTCCATCGACACAATCCTGTCTCGGCGCTCTACGGACAATTCCTTCAACCTCATGGCTTGGTTTTTGCTCTGACATGCACTGTCAACTGTGGGACCTTATATAGACAGGTGTGTGCCTTTCCAAATCATGTCCAATCAATTGAATTTACCACGGGTGGACTCCAATCAAGATGTAGAAACATCTCAAGGATGATCAATGGAAACAGGATGCACCTGAGCTCAATTTCGAGTCTCAATACAAGGGGTCTGAATACTTTCCGAAGGCACTGTATATATACTGTACCTATATTTCAGTCATAATTTGAGGATGTATATATACACATGAGCTGATATGAACCTGATACAGTATTGATCAGTGTGCTGTGTTTGACTCTAGGGTGCCAGAGGACTTGTCGGACCCAGAGGGTCACCTGGGCCACCTGGACAGCCAGTAAGTCAACATCCCACCTTCACCTTAATACTGTTCCAATGGACCATTTTACACCCTTTAAACCAGTCTGACATTCATAGATAACATCAAATACAGTTACATCTGATTAGCTGTCTGTCTCTTCCAGGGTATTACAGGTGTGGATGGAGTTCAAGGGTCAAAGGGCAACCTGGTCAGTATTTTTTACTTAACTTGGGACTTGTAGTTTTCATGACAGTTGATCCATGATGACTATGATGGGTGAATGAAAGCTTTCTAAAGATGGTGTTTAGAAACACAATCAGACCTGTGGAATTTGAGTGACTTTAATTGATTAAAGTAAACACAGCTTAAAAAGCATTGACCACAGTGGAATATGTGATGAGTTTGATAGGAGTCAGGCGCAGGAGGGTAAATCACCAAATACAGAGTTTATTCCGTCGTACACAGTTGCGCTGGATAGCGACAACAAAATACAGGCACAGGGGAAATATCTACCCCGGCAATACAAGGTACGAGTAGCTCCACCGAGCTACACTCAACTCACATAAAACAATCACCCACAAGGAAAAGGGGGCAGAGGGAACACTTATACACAGACTAATGAGGGGATATGAACCAGGTGTGTGTAATTAACAAGACAAGACAAATGGAATGATGATATATGGAGCGGCAGTGGCTAGTAAGCCGGTGACGACGAACGCCGAAGCCTGCCCGAACCAGGAGGGGAGGCAGTCTCGGCGGAAGTCGTGACAGAATAGCAGTCCCATGACCCTGTTTAGGATTCCTAGCATGAGGGGCTCTGTCCATGTGGTCAGGGTTGTGTGAAGAGAAAGTGTGTGTGATGCTTCTTGTTGTTTTGTCTTAGGGGCCACCTGGAGAGACAGGTCCCAACGGTCAACAAGGAAATCCTGGATTACAGGTAACCCACAACCTCACACAATGTCAACACACAACAACATGTTTTCAAAAACATAATCCATACAAACACTGTCTCAACACTCTCTTTGTCTTTCCCTTCTGTCTCTCTCTCTCTCTCTCTCTCTCTCTCTAGTCTCTTTCTCTTTCTGTCTCTCTCTCTCACACACACACTCCAATCTGACTTCCCAGTCCTCTCACTCTGTGATACCTAACCTGATTAATGCTTTGTTCTGGTCCAGGGCCTGCCTGGTACTCAGGGTCCCATCGGCCTGCCAGGAGAGAAGGTAGGCACCATGCCTCTCTTCATTTCAGATTTAAAGCCCTGATCTTGTGACCGCTATCAGCTCCGCCCCCAGGGGAGGCTGGCTGGCTTGAACGTTGTCACCCAGTACCAGCCACTCCTGGCTCCTGGCTCCTGGCTCCTATTCAGACTACAGAGGACACTTGACAGGAAATGAATATCCAGGAAACACACACTAGAACACACACACAGGCAGGCAGGGAGTCAGTGCTGTGCTATCACACACCAGAGCCTCCTCACACTAGAGCAGGGGTACTCAACTACTATTTGAGAAGGTCTGGTTACACACATTTCCAAGGTGGTAAAGGTCCGGATGGATATTGTCTTTATCGGCGTAGTAACAAACCCCCACCTCCCAAGTCGCGACCCATATGACCCCAGACTGTTCACTCCCCTCTTGATGGTGGAAAGAACATTTAGCAGTTTTTAACAACATTTCCCTGCAATTCTTCTACACATTTTGCCATGGAGCAGAGAGAAAATTGTGCAGTTTTAAAGCAAATTTCCTGCAATCCTACACATTTTGACATGTCTTAAATGTGTTCATATGATACCTGAGTGAGTCAACAAAATCAATGGGCACATATTATGGACTTGATAACTACAATATTTAGATAGCTGGTTAGCCTAGCATACCTACCTAGCTAACATGGGCTAGTTGATCAACTGTACATTTCTGACATGTTATAAATAGCTCTCTAATGTCTGTCAGTGAATGACATAACAAGAGGAAAACTTCCCATGCACTACCTTGTGCATTCTAATGTTACAACTCTCAACCACATTAATAAATTGAAAGCCCGACTGAGTCGGTTCCCGCGGTTCATATTGACCCCTTTCTGCTTCCGGATCCTGACCGCGGTCCACCTGTTGAGTATGGCTGAACTAGAGGCTATTCATAGTCAAAAACACATAAAGATATTCAGTTGATTTAAGAATTAAATGTCACCATATTTTAAGACCCAATATCACGTTGTTGTAGCTTGGTTGTTACCCTTGAGATTGATGTGTATATACAGTAAGTTTCACCACTCATGATCTGTCTCTGTCCCCTACAGGGTCCCCAGGGGAAGGGTGGGGTGCAGGGACTCCCTGGCATCGATGGCCCTTCTGTAAGTACATCCATCTGATTCTTCCTCAGCAGCACTGATAGTACTGACCTTACCAGGGTGCGCTACCTCTTCTCCACCAGCAGGGGAGAACAGAAGGCATTGGGAAAGTGCTCCAATGCAGTATTTCAATTAGCTCTACGAATGAAGGATCTGTTTACAAAAGGGCTTAGCTAAACTCTTACAACCACATGGTTTACATAATAGTGAATAGGTTTTATGATTCAGGTATAGTTTCATGTTCTATAGACACATCACCCTCCTCCAAGTCCCTCTCTCTCTATATATTGTACTGTATTCACTTTGCTTTGCACTGTCTATCAAGCTCCATTGATTTTTTCTAAACAGCCATGGAAATCTGTGATAGTTATAATAGTAAGGTACAATGCTCTATTACTTGTTATAAACATGTGTGAGCCTTTATAATGTCTTATTATAAGTATTCTAATATGCTATATCTGTTCAATGTGTGCAGGGCCATCCAGGAAGAGAAGGCCCTCCAGGAGAGAAGGGGCTCAATGTGAGTTACAGTACAGAGCGTTAGACCAGACCTGCCTGGGTCATCATACCACTGTTCTGTCATATGAACATCCCTATTCTCCAATCACGTTCACTCATCATAATTCTCATATCACATTCGTTTAATGCATTGTCATCGGACACTCCATTCCACCCCCATTATAATAATGTTTGTCCACATTAGCTCACTGTCATCATCATCATCATCATTGTGCGCTCACTCATGTTGACTCATCCTTTTCATCATTGTATTTTAACAATGTCATCGTCATTGCGCAATCACATCAATCCATTACGCTCATCAGCGATATCGTAATTATCATAAAGTACACTCATCGTCATTGTCCGGTCAAAAGTACTTATTGACATTGTGTGAATTGACTACATTAGCCCTATACAATTGCTCACTAGCATCTGTAAATGGATAGTGCTTTTCAGACAGATGAATCCTGATGTTGTTTTGTCATACAGGGTTTGCCTGGAGCCCAAGGGCCTGTTGGTTATCCAGGGACTCGCGGTGTCAAGGTGAGTCAGATGCTATGTAATGATCATGGTCGAAATGTCCTCAAAGGTACCATGCTGAGAGAGATAGCCATTCCCTTAGACATTTCAATCTCTCTAGTGTGTATCTATCTACCTGTGATGGACATGTTGTGGGAGTGTGTGTGAGTGTATGTTTGACAGTTGACAGGTTCAGAGAGAGCAGGTTTATTCTCGGGAGGATATCTAATGACAGTGGGAATAACGTTTGATGGACAGTAGAAATGACAATGTTGAAGGAGAGAGGAACGTGTTTATGTGTGGGGGTGGGGGTGTTTGTGTGTGTGTGCGTGCGTGCGTGCGTGCGTGCGTGCGTGCGTGCGTGCGGGTGCGTGTGGGTGAGTGGGTGGGTGCGTGTGGGTGGGTGTGTATGTACTCGTGTACATGCGTGTGTGTGAATTTAGTGTATGCACATGGAATTCAAATTGTGTCTTGAGGGGATAGGTTGTGGTGTTGCATCATGGCTGGGGATGTCTACTCACTCAAAGTAATATTCACACCAGCAGTATTCTACCTCTAGGGCACTGCCATTAAGGCGCACGCTGACCTGGGCTGCAATCGTTAATAGATGGTCAATAACTGGTCAATAGCAGGGCAGTGACAGGTTAAGAGCAAATCAGTCGTCATTCATAAGTCATTCTCCAGGGTCAAATCATGGTGTTTCTTACAATAGGTGTGCTGTTGATAGTACTTTTATTTACTTATGAATACAGTACAGTAGTACAGTATCATCTTGAATGGTGATCATCAGTGATATTGTGGCCTGTTCTGATTCTATTTGTATTTGAATGTCTCTGTTTCACAGGGAGCTGATGGAGTGAGAGGTCTGAAGGGGAGTAAAGGAGAAAAGGTGAGAAAATAGTCATTTTTACAGTAATTCTGCTGTAAAGCTAGAAGAATAGACGTGATTACTCACAGTCACAGTACCAGTTGTCTCACTGTCAGATACTGTAAAGGTATCGCATTTCTACTTCATGGTTTATTATTACTTCATAGTTTATTATGACATCCCCCATAGAGATTTAATAGATCAGACATCTGCCAGATCTCAGTACTGTGATTAATGAATCATCATGAATCATTAGAAATCACAGTCTCCTTCTCCTCTTCACATCGCAGGGTGAAGATGGCTTCCCCGGGTTCAAAGGTGACATGGGCCTCAAGGGAGACAGGGTGAGAGTGTTCCCACGCCAGACTAACACACGCCTCAGACCAAAGCTGTCTCTCATTATGAACGAATAAGATGGAGATCTCAGTTAGTCTGACCTGCTTTTCTGTCTGCTTCTCTCTCTTCTCTCCCTCTCTCACTCTCTCTCTCTCTCTCTCTCTCTCTCTCTCTCTCTCTCTCTCTCTCTCTCTCTCTCTCTCTCTCTCTCTCTCTCACGCTCTCTGCCTCTCCCTATCTCTCTCTCTGTGCTGTGTGTGTGTGTATGTGTGTGTGTAGGGTGATAACGGGGTCACAGGAGGTCGTGGAGAGGATGGGCCAGAGGGGCCTAAAGGTCAGTCGGGACCCCTAGGAGAGGCTGGAGGTGCTGGCATAGCTGGAGAGAAGGTACAGGAACATTATTTCACAAGTCTAACATTTACTGTATGTGTGTCATGTTATGCAATATGTATGAGTTATTGGGATTATGCAGAAGTATGGATATATGCGTGTTCAGTGTAATCACATGAACACCCTGCTAAACCATGTCATACAGTATTTGCATGCATTATGCTCTCTTTATTTTTGGCAGTGTTGCCAAGTCAACCATGATTCCACTCCTCTTTCTCTGTTAATCTCTCTCTCTCTCTCTCTCTCTCTCTCTCTCTCTCTCTCTCTCTGTCTCTCTCTCTCTCTCTCGCTCGCTCTCTCGCTCTCTCTGTCTCTGTCTCTCTGTCTTTCCCTCGCTCTCTCTCTGTCTCTCCTTCCTCAGGGTAAACTGGGTGTCCCAGGGTTGCCAGGATACCCAGGAAGACAGGGGCCCAAGGTGAAATCCAATTAAGAGCTTTAAAACTTTGTTCTACCTTAAAACTTTGAAACAGAAAGAAGTGTGCCTTTCTCTGGCTTCGGCTCATTCCTGTCAAATAAAAAATTAAGCCTGATAAATGGCTGATTAAAAATAGGTATTTTATTAATAGTTAATTAGTGACAACAATTAATTAGCGGGTTGATTAATGGCGTATTTAAGGCAGTGTGTTTGACTTATGGATTAGATTTTGCTTAATTCGATACTGTGGTTAATTATTAGTTAATTAAATGTTGTGGCTGATGCATGATTAATGTAAGGCTGTAGATGATTAACCTCTGTGTGTGTTCTCCAGGGATCCGTGGGTTTTCCCGGTTCTGCCGGGGATCTGGGAGAGAAAGGAAGACGGGTGAGAACCATAGGACCCATGTTGAACCATACTGAACCGTATTAAACCATATTGAACCGTATTAAACCCTCTACTGTAATGCTCCTCTTACCATACAAAGATCTGTGAACTGCCTGTACTGTTTTCAGTGATAGATGACTGAGTGATAGTAATAATTGTGGACTTCTCTTCTGCAGGGTCCACCTGGTCAAGCAGGAACTGGGGGTCAGAGAGGTCCTAATGTGAGTTAGATTTCTCCTCTGGTCTTACAGCATCTAAGTCTGTTGATCTCTATTGCATTGAGCCCATGGTGAGGTATCTGTCACAGTTTCTCACCAACTGACATTGCACACCATTCATTTACGTCAGTGATCACCAACTTCTTCTGAGTCAAGACCACTTTCTGAGTCAAAATGTAAGCTGAGATCTAACGCTCAGATCAACAAAAAAAAAACATTATTTAAAAAACATAACCCTATGCAACATGAACCAATTAAAAACAGTTGAGTGAGCATAATAATGTTTTTTTGTTTTACTGGACTGATGGTCAGTCTGAGGGGAGAGAGGGAGCAGCTGTGAAGCTGCCTCTCACCTGACTCACCATCCCTCCTCTCTCCCTCCCTCCGCTGAGAAAAGGGGACACAGTCTTCCAGCTGATGGCGAAAACTTAAGTCGCACTGCATTATATCTGCCTCATGCACCATTTCATGTTGTTACCCCTATGAACAGAGAAAGTGAAATATTCCTCGATATTAAAAAAGACACAAGCTGCTAATAATAACAACGCTAGCTTATCTAAACATTTTGCTATAGTCATTCATTGCCGCTGCAGTGCTGGTTGTAGCGCGTACGGAAGTAGGGAAAACGCACATTTTATGGCTTATAAAGTCTTCAACAAAGTGTTGACAGCGCTAAATAACAACGTAAACATGAACTAACTCATAAAATCAGCAGCTGTATTCGTTGAGTCTCTCTCTAGCCATGGCTTTAAACATTTTGAAATCTCACATTATCAACTTTGCTGTGCGTTCGAGGCTTCTTTTGAGTCTATGGCGGGAGGAAACTGTGCAGACATAGTGATCTGAGCTATCTGATTTGCCAGCGGTAGGTCCATAAGTGCATTTGATTTGCCTTATTGGGCCTGCCGACATATGAAATGGTTCAAAATGGGAACTCTTTGCCTTCCCGGCACCAGGGCAGCTGAATCAAGTGCACATACCACCAACAGCACGAAACAAATAAGAACAAATAGGAACGCAAGTCTTTTTTTTTTAAACAGAAATGTTTGGTGATCGACTAGGAATGCCTTGGTGATCGACCGGTTGGTGACCACTGGTTTACGTCATAGGAACTCTCACTCACCCCTTGTCATTTATTCTTCTCCTATGGATGTTCTGTTGTCATAAAGAGGACTCTGCTGATGTTGTTTTTTCCATAGGGTGCCAGAGGGGGGAGAGGAGCAAGAGGACCAACAGGAAAGTCAGGAGACAAGGTGGGTTTAGGCCAGTGCACAGCTGTCTCATAACGAGAGAAGGTACAGGCGCTGTTGTAAGTGTTACTCTTCAGCACAGAATGACATGCCATCTGGTGCAAAGAGGGAATACTCTGCTGCTGATGCTAGATGTTTGAAACTGAAAGGAGTTATTTCAGCAGTCCTTTCAAAAGACCACCAATGAAATGATTAACAATGGTAAAAATATATATATTTTCATAAAATTAATGAATAGACCAACAGGCTCAATAACAGTTTATCTCTCTATCCCAATCCTCCACCCTCTACATGATCCACCAATCAGGGCACCTCTGGACACGAAGGCCCACCAGGATCCACTGGAGACCAGGTAAGCTGACACACAACCTAACAACCACAGAGTTTAGCTATAATGATAACACAGCTAATAATAGCATATCTAATAATAGCATATCTAATAATAGCATATCTAATAATAGCATATCTAATAATAGCATGTTTAATAATAGCATATCTAATAATAGCATATCTAATAATAGCATATCTAATAATAGCATATTTAATGATAGCATATTTAATAATAGCATATCTAATAATAGCTAGCGTAGGATGATAATAATACAACGATACACCCTGCTAGGAAAAAGCATCATTATGCTTCACAGATACAAACCTCCCCATAACAGTGTATGATACCTACTGGTAAAGATAGTCAACTGGATTGAGTCTTTGTGTTGTCTGGTTGAAACAACAGGGACCGCAAGGACCACAGGGAAGGAACGGCGAGGCAGGACCTAAGGGACCTAATGTAAGTGTGACGTGTCAAATGACAAGCAGCTGCATTGTTTAACATGTTTCTGCTTTTCTTTCCAGTCTTATGCTGTGTCTGTCTGTACTGTTTATCTCTATCTAGTGTGTATGTGTGTCTATGCTAATCAAAAGTACAATATTATTTTTCAGGGAGCGGCAGGAAAAGACGGACTACTAGGTCATCCAGGCCAGCGAGGGGAGCCAGTGAGTTAAACTGAGATTCTATGATGACCCAGGAATTATGTGGTTGATAGTTACTTTCTCGCCGTCGTCCAAATATCAAATATGGACATAGATTTCAACACTCATCATGACCCCTAATAACACCACAACAACAAGCAAGACAAAAGCTGTGGCTTGGATGCTGAATTATTGAAGTGCAAGAGTAGGCTACATATTGAAGACTACTCATCCTATCCACAAATAACTCTATCGCTCTCTCTCTCTCTCTCGCTCTCTCTCTTTCTCTCTCTCTCTCTCTCTCGCTCTCTCTCTCTGTCTGTCTGTCAGGCTGGCTTTTTCTCTCTCAGCTCTTAGCTGTGGGTCACGGCTTCACTCGCTGTTTTCTCACTTGTCATCTCTCCTTTCTCAGGGCTTCCAAGGCAAGACTGGTCCACATGGGCCAACGGGTGTGATCGGACCACAGGTGAGTTATCTAGTCAGGAGTGAGTGATTAGATTAGAACTACAAAGTGATTAGAACTACATTTGTAGTTATTTTGTGACAATGAAAATCAAACCTATAAATGAGAGCTGTGGGGTAATGAGAACTCAAGCCTTGTTTTGTCATTAGGGTAAATCTGGTGAGACTGGGCCTAATGGTGACAGAGGACACCCTGGGTCACCAGGACCCCCTGGAGAGACGGGTTTACCCGGAGCAGCAGGCAAGGAGGGAGCCAAGGTGAGTCGGTCGTGTTCATCTTCAGTGAATCATCTTCACCATCATCATCTTCAACACTATTATTATTATCATCATAAAAGGAATCTATAGAAGATCATACATAATTCCTCCAGGACCCTCTCAGAAACAAGATATGTCACCTCACCTCAAGGGATTTATCCTTCCCACAAATTTCCAAACTGATAAAGGGGAGAAATAAATTCCTCATTCCATACCACACCATGCTCCGTGCATTACCGCTCATAAAATATGGATGTTCCTCTCACTCTGGGATTTATCACCTTATAAGAGCCCTGCTGTCGGCTCACTGGTAGACTCAGGCCTAATCCTCCCTATCTGTCTCTCTCTCTCTCTCTCTCTCTCTCTCTCTCTCTCTCTCTCTCTCTCTCTCTCTCTCTCTCTCTCTCTCGCGCGCTCTCTCTGTCTCTCTGTCTCTCTCTGTCTCACTCTGTCTCTCTCTCTCTGTCTGTCTGTCTGATCTGGTTTCCAGGGAGACCCGGGTCCGTCAGGAGCTCCAGGAAAGAGTGGCCCCGCTGGGCTCCGAGGCTTCAGAGGGAGCAGGGGCAGCCCTGGCGCCATGGTAATGAGCTAACGCACCCACCTCACATCTCCTCACATCTCCTGACCTTTACCTTACAGACATATTACATTCTGCACTGATGTAAAGTACTACTGTATTGTATAGCGCCCAGTGTTTTATGTGAAAATCACTGAAGGCCAGTTTCCTGGAGCCAGATCAAGCCTATTCCTGGACTAAAAGGCACTTTTGAATGGAGATTCTCCATTGACCATGCTACTTTTTAGTCCAAGAGTGGGATTCATCTGGGTCTGGGAAACTGACCCTTAGTCATTTACTTGAAATAACTGATGGTCGCCTATCTGATGACTGTATACTCTGACAGTGGGATGGAAACTGATTGGTTGGAGTTCCTGTGATGAAGGCTCTGATTGGCTCACCTCTGTATACTTGCCTCTCTCTAGGGCCCTGCTGGACTGAAAGGAGGAGAAGGACCCACCGGTGTGTCAGGAGCAGTGGTAAATGGGATTTCATCAAGTTGCAATTGTTTAATTCACATTTTCCCCACACTACCCCCCTATCTCCACCTCCATCCCCCATCCAGGTCCTTATGTGGTGTATAACCAACAAGGACATGTAGAGGGGGAGGCTGTTACCATGGAGATCATTACCAGTGTACTAAATCAAAAAGTGAATCATGTGACGTTGTCCTCTTACCTCCTCTCTGTTCCCCCATCGTGTCGTTACCCAGGGAGCCACTGGGGAGAAAGGGCCTTCTGGAACGGCTGGTGCTATTGGTCAGCCCGGACGCTCTGGTGGGGTCGGCCCTGGAGGACCAATGGGAGAAAAGGGCGAGCCAGTAAGAGCCTTTGATCATTTCCTTATTTATTTATTTTCTAATGCAACGCTAGTCAATTTCTAAATGGACATACGTACATCACTGCTCATTACTGAGAAATAAACTGCATGTGTGGGTTCCTCTGTACTGTATGTGTCATAATGAGTGTTTACGTGTGTGTGTGTGTGTTTGTGTGTGTGTGTGTGTGTCTGCGGGTTCCACCCTCTCTGCGTTATCTATTAATCAATATGTCTTGGTGCAATATGAGACTAGAGTAGTGGCGGTGGTTAGACTAACAATGTTTCCTCATCCATCTGTTCCCTAGGGAGAGAAGGGGCCCATCGGGCCGGCTGGACAGGACGGGGCGCAGGGGCCAGTGGGGCTGCCAGGGGCTGCTGGCCCCGTTGGGCCTCCAGGAGAGGACGGAGACAAGGTACTTACACCTGTACACACGTACAGTACAGTAGGTACCATACCACTGTAGAGGGACAACTTAGGGCTATCCAACTACTGGCCTTCAAGGCCTGAAGCACTGCTGGGATTTTCTACTGCTAGTCAATTTATTTATTGTCCTTATTGACCTAGTGGCCTTGATGTTGTGTGGGTGGGAGGTGTATGGGTTACTATGTGTGTGTCTCTATATCTCTGCAATGTGTGTCTGTGTCTGTGTCTGTGTCTGTGTCTGTGTCTGTGTCTGTGTGTGTGTCTGTGTCTGTGTCTGTGTCTGTGTCTGTGTGTCTGTGTCTGTGTCTGTGTCTGTGTCTGTGTCTGTGTCTGTGTCTGTGTGTGTGTTGTCTACAGGGCGAGACAGGAGGACCAGGCCAGAAGGGCAGTAAAGGAGACAAAGGAGAATCTGTGAGTCTTCATCTGGAGAAATATCAATCACAACACTGTCTTTTAGCCTCACAAGCCACAGTACTACACACCTGACAGGATATGACATCACCAGCCACAGTACTACCAGACAGAGGGAGGCGAATCGAGATCCCATGTTAAGCAGATCCTTAATTATTAAGCAGGTGAAGAGTTTTTGTATGGGGGGGCAATGAGAGTGTTGAATTTAGTCAAGATAAACATAAATTGATATGTGAGGCTTATTTGATCTAGAAGTTTCATAATGCTTAGATTGTTACAAGTGTACTGATATAAGTGTGATGCATGTCACATCCCGGCAACTTTTAGAAAAAACACTTTATCAGAGTTGTCCCTGTTGAAATTCGAGAACAGACTATTCATTTTCATGAAGCTAGCATCTCACTCTCCATTGAATACAGGCGGTTGACGTCGACACTCCTCATGGAATATTCAAACAAGTATTAAATTAACGAGATGTATCCACCAATCCAAAGAGAGGAATAGGCGGGAGCTTGACAGCCCGCCGTTCCGCTCTGTGGACAACGAATCCCATTGTAAGAGCAGACACAAGCATCTCTTCATTATATCCAGTATCTCTGGTACTACACACCTGGCAGGATATGACATCACAAGCCACAGTACTACACACCTGACAGGAAATGACATCACCAGCCACAGTACTACCAATATTAACAATATAGCCAAGTGACCGCTCTAACAATGGAAATACGTCCTCAATGATTGAAGGAAGGTGAGATCAGGTGGGACCATTCTAGCCAATAAGTGGGCAGATACGCGTGTGAACAACAGCCACAACTAAGTAGTTTCTCAAAGTTGACGAAATGCCACACGCATCCACTTGTATCAGTACATTTGTAACAGCCTAAACATTACGAAACTTCTATTCGATCAAATAAGCCTCACGTAATTCGACACTCTCTCATAGACCTCCATACAAAAAAGGGCTTATCTCATGCGGACAGATTTTGGGCGGTGTAAATCTGCTCTGGTACTATACACCTGGCAGGATATGACATCACAAAAAAAAACGATGTCAAATCATGACGTCAGTGATCTTCAGGTCGGGAAGTCGGAGCTCTAGAAAGATGCTGGAATTCCGACTTGGATGACCGTTCAAAATGATTTTTCCCAGTCTGAGCTAGTTTTTTACATGAGTTCCCAGTTGTCTTGAAAGCACTGAAGTCGGAAGTCAGAGATTTCCGAGTTCCCAGTTGTTTTGAATGCGGCATGCACACCTGACAGGATATGACATCACCAGTCAAAGTATTACACACCTGACAGGATATGACATCACCAGTCACAGTATTACACACCTGGCAGTATCCTCCCCCTGTCACCCGCTGCTATCACTAGGATAATTCAAATGAATGACTCAATAAATGAGAAATGGTTTTTAATTGAGTGTTGAGATAAGTTGTAAAGTTATAATTAACTGTACAGTATATTATGTGAGCTGGTATATTCAGCTTTAGGCATTATAAGCATTTCTTCATGGTCTAATTAGCATGCACTGTGCATCTTCATGCACTCTATTTTATCCTAGCCCTGGTAGCTCTATCAAACTATTCAAAATACTGTCTAACACTTTCAGAAGCCAAGAAATCACATACAGCTACCATCGACAGCTGCAATTTCACAGTAGTTGTGTTTTTTAGCTCCCGACACAGCAGTGTTTTCCTGCAGTGTATGATTGATTTGCAGTATACTGTCAGCAGCATCTCTGTTTCTCGGTCTCTTCTCCAGGGCCCCTCAGGACCTATTGGAATCCAGGGACCTGTCGGCCATCCAGGGTTACCGGTACGTCTATTCAATGTATCTGTCTTTATTCAAAGGGTGTGTGATTGTGTGTTTATGTGTACTGAATGTGTGTACAGCACTGACCCCTGCATGTGTTTCAGGGTGTGGACGGGGAGCCGGGGCCTAGGGGCCAGCAGGGGATGTACGGGCCAAAGGGAGACGAGGGTGCGAGAGGCCACAAGGGGGCCACAGGACCCACTGGACTACAGGTGAGGAGACGAGACGAGACACCCCTCTGTTGGCCTGTACCATCCATCTCTCTACTCCAGCACATAGCTGACAGGTGGACTGTACCATCTCTCATCGACAGCACATAGCTGATAGCATTGCAGTATCCCTACTACTGCGCCACTAACCATACTCTGTCTTTACAGGGCATGCCAGGACTCCCAGGAGAGAAGGGAGACAGTGGACACGTGGGCACGATGGTGAGTACTGGACATACCATTGGACCATGACATAATTTCCCTATATCCTATTGTTGACCTGGCAGCCTCACTGGACTCTCCCACCAAAGATCATTCCTTAAGCATGTCTCTCATCTTTATTGTGGTATAAAGCCTAACTAAAGTAAAACCCTTCATGGAGGCAGTGTCTGGAGTCTGGCTCCCTGTAGAGTGACTGGAGCGTAGCAGAACAGAACAGCCATGACACGTCCAGCTACACTTCCAGAGAGGACTAGGGCTTTGTGTCTACATGTAACAAGGAGTTCCTCTGAGGAGAGAGAGAGTGAGAGAGTGACAGGGAGAAAGGAGGAAGAGGCAGTGGAGTGAAGGAGGGAGAGAGAAAGCGAGGGAGATAGGGATGGAGAGAGAAAGAGAGAGGGCGGTGGTTTGAGGAGGAAGACGGCAGCGTGCCAGCTGCTAATCAGATTAGCCTGAGCCGGGCCTGTCTAATGAGCATCTTCATTCTATTGTGACAGTCATTTCAGAACGCCACAGACTGTGAACGCATGCTAAATAAGATTCTACACACACAGCTAGCGCCACAGCACACTCAGCCTGATTAGGGAGAGGGGAAGGAAGCGTCAAAACGGAACAAAAAAACTAAAGAGGGAAAAAGAGAGAGAGGGAGGATGAGAGGGAACGAAAGATATGGGGGGATAGAGAGAGGGATGTGAGATCTCACTGGGAAAGCCTCATCCATGTGTGAATGCTGTGGTTCACAGGATTGCAGCTTCTAATGCCCGAGTAGCTCTCCAGTAGCAGGATTATAGGATATGTGCTTACTGTAGTGGATGTAGTAGTCTCTGGAGTATGGATGTCTGTCTGTCTGTCTTAGTGCTGTGTGTACAGTCTCTCACTTTATTGGGTTTTCAGTGTTTGTGAAGCACAGGTAACCGTTAACTCTGGACTGGAAGTGAGCAGTTAGAGCAGTTAGGATGCATAGCTTGTTGTCCATGTTGAGGTGCACAGAGGGGTGGAATCCCATCACACTGACTGGCTGGACTGGCATTTCCCCTGTAGCCTGGATAATATGTTCTTGTAAAGGACTAGAGGTTCCTCATTATAGAGTGAGAGAGAAGGAGGGGATAGAGGGAGGGAGAGAGAGATGAAGAGTGGGAGATGCAGAGAGAGAGAGTGACAGACAGGGAGAGCGAGAGAGGGGGATAGAGACAGAGTGTTAAGGAGGGAGTGAGAGGGAGGGAGAAAGAGAGAAAGAGAGAGAATCTTTCTGTGTGTCATTGAGGGTAATGGCCTGTCCTCATGGTGTCTTCATCATGTCAGTGAGGTAATGATCATAGAGACTGGTTCTGTTCTGGGGATATGTTGCACCAGCCACCAGGCCCTCAGTAGACTGAATGACTAGCATTCACAGTCACTGTACCCAGGGAGGAGCTGCCTGGTGGGTCACACAGTCCTCTTCCTTTGGGATTGAGGTGTGTGTGCTGTCTCAAGCCAATGGCTAATGATCTCTTTTCTCCTCAGGGCCCTCCAGGACAACATGGCCCCAGAGGCCCCCAGGGGTCCATCGGTGGAGAGGTACAGTATATTTCTTACCTTATCTGACCACCTTTCTCTGTATTGGGTTTGCTGCAGTATTGGATTGGTCTATGTTGCAAGACGGTATACTATTTTGCGCAGCTCTCACTTCTGCTCAACTCTACATTACTGACTATCAGAATCCACCCACCCACCAATAGGGTTGTTACTTCACAGACAGCACACACACTTCTCTACCCTCTATCCCTCTCCCTCTCCCAGACCCTCTGCCGGTTTGGAGCTGTGAATTATTAAGTGGTATTAGAATGTAATCCCTCAGAGGGAGTTATATTTACCGCTCTATAAATCATTAAGAAGTATTAGACAATCATCCCTGAGAGGAAGTTATATTTACCTCTATTAATGGCCAACCTCTCAACATCTCACACCAATCAATTATTAACGAGAGAGAGCCGGAAAGAAGCCACGCCACACACACACACATAGTCAAAAATCAAATCAAATCAAATGTTATTGGTCACATACACACATTTAGCAGATGTTATTGTGGGTGTAGTGAAATGCTTGTATGGATTCAGTGGTATGGATTCAGACCTGGGTACAAATATAATTTGATAGATCACATACTTTATTTAAGCATTTGCCTGGAGTGCTAGATGGGCGGGTTTTGTACTTTTGGGACTATCCCATTGGTTCTATTTTTCTATCAAAGCTCAATCAAGCACTATTTGAAAGATATTGAGTACCATTTGAACCCAGGTCGGATTCATATGGTGCCATGGAAATAGAAGGGTGTAGAGATGGAGCGATACATAAATTGATTGATACAGGTGATGGAGTGAGAGGGAAATGGAGAAAGAGAAGCTTT